GAAACACCTCCCATGACAGCAGATAAATAATCCATGCCACGGGCCTTCAGCATTAAAAGGAATATTAAAAATTAGAAGAACAAACCACGTTAGCAGAGGAAGGACTTTCCACGGTCACCTGCTCCAACGGAGATCCTGTCCTATCAGTGACATCAGTGCTGTTCAAGTTCATCTGACCTAAATCTGTTCAGGAAAGCCTCAAATGAATCTGGCAAGCACTGAAATAATGGTCAAGTCTGAGAATGGTAATAATCTCATTACAGGAAGTCATTCATCACTTCAACAACATAATTTATGGACTTAATATGAGGAAGAAAAAAATGGATTTAAAAAGTATGTCTTTATGGCTGTACATTATTCAATGTTGAGGGTACTATTGGGTAATATTCCATCCGTGTCCTTAATTTTTAAAAATCTATTCACATACACCATTATATAACTGCAGACTTAGTCACAACGGTCTAATTTTGCAAAGACTTCATCAAACAAATCCATACATGCAAATTGTAAACAACTGTGATAGGGTTACCAATATTTATATGGTAGATGAAAGCGGAAAGGAGACTCAGCTAAAGCACTAATGCCGCTGTTTTACTCTTCCTGTCCATCCAAAAAGAGCATTTTTCATGTGAGATTTCCAGATGCCACATGGGAATGAACAGAGTTCACGGGTTAACTCATCCAAATTCACCCAAGCATTAATCTAAGTAACATTTTACATTTATTTAGCAGATTCTATCATCAAAAGCTACGTACACCTGAGAAAGTGGGGTTAGCCAGTGTCTCTGGGGCCGTTGGGGAGAGTTTAAGGGCCTCGCTCAAGGGGCCAATAGTAACATCACCCCCGACCCTGATTGCGCGCACAGAGGCCCAACCTGCAGAGCCACCCAAAGTAAAGCACTAATTTCAGGGATGTTCTTTGACAAAAAATACATTGCGTATGAATATATAGGATTTATAAAGGTTTGCATAAGAAAAAAATTAAAGTGTAGCATGCAAGATAAGCAGTATTTTCCATATGTACTATGAGGGCATGTTTCCACAAAGAGCTTCACTGTACTGTTTCCTCAGCACACACAGAAAATCAGCAATACCCTGATTTATTATATGTCTTAGTAACGCTGCATTTGGACTAAGCAGGAAAAACTTAATTAACTAAATCTCTTACAATACAGCACAAAAAAGTAGTTCAAATCCAATTAAACAAGCCATCTGCCACTTAACTCAAAGACGGTCTGCTGTCTGTTGATGTTGTGCATAGATTATACTTATTTTACTGCTACGCTATATGCTATAGCTTTTACATGTGTGGGTTCGTGACTCAATAGCATGTTGAGAAGTCTCTGCTGAAAACATGCCGAAAATCTGTTGCATTACGAAACTGACCCTACTTGCTTCCCGACCTGAACTTGGCACTGTTCTCTGTAATCTACATATCAGTTACATTTTGCATTATGAGTATAATTACATGCCCTTAAAAAAACGGAACCTCAGTTACTCAAATTATTAAATGGTCAAGCTGAGTAATTGCTGAGCAACAACTTAACCTACCATCCCTATATACTAGATAACTACAGCCGATAACTGGCTCAATTTTAAAAGATGAATCCCATCCCTTAAACACTCAGTTCCAGCTTCTTCCCTCGGGACAAAGGTTCATAGTTCCAAAGTGCAGAACTAAGAGGTACAAAAATTGCTTTCTTCCAGCACCAGTCATTCAGTTGAACAAGACATTATAACTGGGCATGGGATAGTGTTAACTTCCTCTTATATGTTTTATTTTATCAAATATTATTTGATACATGTGATCAAAGAGTTATACTTCTTATGTTTTGTGCGGTTATATTTATTTATTCGTTTGTGTGTATGTGCATGTTTGTTTGTGTGTATGTGCATGTTTGTTTGTGTGTATGTGCATGTTTGTGTGTATGTGCATGTTTGTTTGCTGGCTATGTGGACGCTGACTCTTCTTGTAAAGAAAATTATTTGAAAAAGTGTACAAATAAAGTAACCTGAACCTGAACCTTACTGGTACATTGAATATGAATCTACTTCTTTATACTTGTCTTTGCATCTGGAAGAAGAACATAACATTAAAACAAATATAACATATCTGGCTTCTGTCACGATAAACTATTTACCTAACATTGTTTCCAATATTACAGAGTGGTGTTTAAGCCTCTCACACAGGAAGCCAGCACAAGACTTCCAGGACAAGCTGATTATGCTTCTGTTTTCATGCTCTTTGTTTGCTTAATGCACTAATTATTTGCATCAACTTGTAAATGGCTTGAGACAGCAGCAGCCACCAAATTAACGGCAGATATAAAGTGAACCATGTGCCAAAAGGCGACATCCAGAAACAAAACACTCAGAGGTTATTGTTCAGAGAGACATGCACTGAGGTTTAGAGAGCAGGGTTGGCAGGCCATGACTAAAGGCCCGACACTGACGTCACTCTGTCAGCCACAGGATTTGAACCAGCGACCTTCTGTTGATGAGCACAGAGCCATACCCATACAGTCCACATACGTAGATGCGGGTGGTGCAGCATGCTCATTGCTATGGTTGTTAAGGGGGAGTTCAATGAGGGCCTTCAGAGAGGCTTGGGAGCAAGATGATGCAACTGCAGGGCTAAATCTGAGGAAGAATGGGACTGTCTCCCTGCAGAATTGCAATGAAGAATTAAATTCCCAGTGATGTTTTTATCCATGGGCAGACATGCTGCATCAGAGGATACATGCTTAATTCCTTTTAACCTTATTAATACAATGTATAATGAGATTTCATCCATCCACCCAACCATCCATCTTCCAACCACTTATCCATCTTATTCTGTACAAGGTCAGAGAATCATGAGACTGCAATAAGTTAAAATGGTTTTAAAAGCATTTTCATATTTCTAATGGGAGACTATACCTTATCGCTATTGTGTTACTTATTCTAAAGCTTCCTCTTTCGTTCTACAGTAGAAAAAAATGAAAAGTAACCAACATGGCATTACCAGACTCTCTCACGGTCAGTAGAAAAACAGTGAAATATGCTAGTAAGACCAGAACAAGGAGGTTAAGAACAAGAAGAACATTTTCTATAAATGAAATGAGGGATCCTTCCTCGACTCATGACCCAATTTTCCATTTGAAATTCCTAAATAGGAGGAATATGGTCTGTTTCCACTTTTAAAACTGCTTATTATGGCCTACTTTTATGCTGGTTGTGTATTTATTGTAAAATAAATACAGATTCCTTAAAATGAATGGCCACACCTTAGAGGGGTCTGTGTCCAAGATAGAATGTGTCCAAAAGACACTACTTGCTAACTTAGTAGATTAAACCTCAATTCTTAAAATCTAAAAAACATAAACTGACAATGTTTGTCACATTTCCATTTTTAAAATTACCCAAAAGACACAATCCTGCAAAGCACATTCACAGACATCATTAACAAAAGAAAGCTTTTTACGCCTATCAGAACTGGTTTATTTTCCTCCAAAGGTTGTTATAAGTCAATGTTTTAAGTTATATACTAATTATACAGCCATCACAAAATATACCCAAAATTTCAAACCACATCCATAGCAAATCAGGACCTGGGGTGCGATTCCCAAAAGCACAGCTACTAACTGCTAACTACTAACTACATTAGCAACATACAGTTGAACACATTCAGTTGCATGGTTCCAACTACATAATTTGCTAATGAGAGCTTTTGGGAAATGCACCCCTGAGTGTTTTTATACTCAACATAACTGCTGGTCCCAAAGCACCTTTTGCTAGAACATCAAGGTCTACAGTACATAAATGTCAGAGAATAAGGATTTAAAGGAAGATAATGGACTATACTATCGTACATAAAAATGCAAATACAGGTGTGACTATAGCCATACTGTCCATACTCTAAAATAATTATCAGTAAATATTAGGTTAGAAGCATGCACACAGGTACCCAAAACATTCTATTTGTTACTATTTATAACAACTCTGTGTTGTTCCTTTGCATAACAAATAAACTGATAATACAAGCTACCTAGATAAAGGATTGATACAAATACAAACCTTAAACAGAAACAGAGACACTTTCATGTAACTCATTATAAAAATGACTCCACAGAAAGACCTGACAGACAACACACATTATGACAGTAGAACCACACAGGGAACAACCCTCACTGGCAAGTTGAAAGTAGCTCAATCAGATAGTTATCCACATATAGATGCCACACAAAGAGAGCAATTCACAGGTAGAGTCACCATCAGAACAAATGATGCTACAAGCATCCATGTTGACATAAGTCCGCTAAAGGCAGCTCAGTGGTTCAAATCTTGAGATGAACCTGAACATCTCTGGCCTTCAGGCATGTGTCACATGACCTGCTTTGTCATGTCCACAGCAATTGTGATTATGAGTTCATGAAACCAATGTCTCTCAAACCAGCCCCTGGGGACCCCCAGACAATTGCGTGTTTTTGGGAGAGAGCAAAAACGTGGACCGGCTGAGGGTCCCTGAGCACTAGTTTGAGAAACACTGCATTAAACTAGACTTCGACGTCCTCCTCTCCCCACCACTCACCCACCCCCCAAATTGGTCTTACTTACAAAAATAGGTACAACCGAGATGACCCCGTAAACTGAAGACTTATGTGAACTCACCTTGAATTTTTTCCACCCAACCTTCTACCTATATGCATCAAGGTCAGAATAGCATCTCACAAAAAAAAGCCAGCTGTGGTCATTAATATCTCATGCCTGGGTTATGGGGACTGGACGCCTATACTGACACACTTTGGCCATTTCTACACTCCTGGGTGCAAGAGAGTAAATATTTTTCTCAGAAAGGCCCAGGCACTACATCTTTGGTGTGACATCAGCCTCCCACTGTGACCTACCTAGCAGTGCTTGAAAAAGGCTGCTTCTGAAGATCCCCATAACTCTTAGAATGGCAGTTTTTAGCTGTTGTTCCTCTGGTGTCTTCAGTTTGGAGCAGTAGTCTTCCAACAGCCCTAAGGCCAGAGCTGTATCTACATAAAGGTCAGGGAAACGCACACATTAATGGACCATCACACATCACGACCACAAGCACTAACAGGACATACTGACCACAGAACACTGGGGAAATTAAGTGGAAAGTACCTCTAAATAAAATAACTTCAAAAAGGTGTTTGATATTTAATGTACATTTTTATTTAATATTTGGTATTTTAGCATCATCAGCGATAAATAAATGCATGTCATTCTCCTGGCATCGATTGGAAGAGCATTTATCGTGAAGGGCCACAGACACAGAGACGTTTATGTTCAGTGGAGGAATAAAATCAGCAGTTATTCCCACTGATTGTCAGAGAGACACTGTGCCACTGCTGTGAAGCAAAGATTTATGCCTGGATCAAGTATCTGCTCTGCGCAGAAGCCAGGCAGGGGATGTCACTCTGTCACACGAGCCAGTAAATGGGAGACAGGGCTGCGCTTGGCCAGTCACCAGTGAAGTGTCAAGACACTGGGCAGCCTTGTTCTAAAGGGCCAGTGCAATTAAAACAAACGGAGGAACAAACAAGAGGCACTTGTTGAAATCCCCTTCAATAACCCCATATAAATGAACATTACTTTTCAAATCTGTCAAAATTAATACAAAACACTATTTAAAAAAGATTTTACATAATAAAGGATTTCATCTAGTGAAGTTCTGGACTATCCTCAAAACAGATCTGATTTACTTAAAGTTAAAGATGATATATTTGATTCAGAATTCTTTTTAAACATATATTTATTGTAGTTTAAAAAAATTATTCACCTAACTACCAAACAATCAGCCTAATATAAGCTTATAAGAAACTTTTTATATATTTATAAATAGGCCTACAAATCACAGCGTTTCAAAGCACAAGCCAGTTGTCAATCGTCACAATGACACCAGTTTTAAATCTGTGCGGTTTAACACAGACACAAAACATTTCAATAACACTACTTAAACCCAAACAGTTAAAACACAGATTAGACACATTACGCGACACATACGAACACCAACCTAAACGCCGGAGAAACAACAAAACTATTTCCCTTTTATCGCAGGGGTTATGAAATTCTAATTGTTTGTGTTATGGGTCCTAAGCTGCACCTGTCAGTAAATGAACCAGCAGGGAAAAGTTAAGCCTGTGATCACGAATTAATACTCGTCCCTTCATTGCTTTATAAAAAACACATTTCTTACGTACTTTCCCTTGCATCTCTCCTGGAACTCTACCTAACACCTACGGAAACTGCCACACTAAAACACAGATAACGGTGCTATGCCTATTTGTACAGTATAAGGTGTATACAGATAAAACCAGAGGATCGACTGGCGCCTGACTCATCCACTCACCTTTTTTTCTTACAGGCATCCTTGCTTCTTGGCAATCCTCAGTTTATTCTAGTGCTAAACAACATAAAAGTTCCCTCTCGTCCTCTGCTGCAAACTAGGAAACTTAGAGATGTATAAAATTCTCAGGCAATTATGTAAACCGTTCTTAAAACGTTATTTTTACTGGCGAGTTTGTCGTATTAAAAACGTGCAGGCACAAAGAGAGGCAACCGGAACTTCATATATCTTCTCGACATGTACATGTATAGCTAGCTATATTCTCAAGACTTCAGTCAGACAGGATGAATGACAGGTTCCAGGTCCTCGGTTGTTGGCAATGAGACACAAAATGCGACATTTACAAAAACAAAGATTGCCGGAATACAACGTTTGGCTTTGCATGTTTATTTTGTTTGAAGTACACGGACATACGGAGGATCCCCTCGACACAAAGTCTCATATGACTCCGCTCTGTTGTCTTTCATATTTTTTTTCATTCCCGAGTGAAGCCACGTGGAGGAAAAAAACAGTTAGGTGTTGAAACGGTCACACAGGTAATACGATGTTCCCATCTGGTCCAGCTGAAAAGTAAAGTATTACTGCAGAGGAGCAGCTGTGCTGCATGTATTTCCCAAATCAGACTGGCAGACACAGGTGGCACCGGGCAGACGCGAAAAAGCGAAATTCCTCCGTTGGCAAAAAGTGAAGGGGACGCAGTTTCAGGAAAACTTCCCCATCTTTATCGGACTTCCCGGCCTCAGCGATATATTCCCCCCTGGGGATTCTTAGGCGTTGCTTCTTCACGGTCTCAAGCTGCTTGCTGGCAAAGTGTCCGTGACCCTCCCCGTGTGATGAGCCAGGGATTTAAAAAAGGAAAACCCGATCCGCAATCCCAACCAACATTAAAGGCACAGTGATGCACAGTAACAATTCTGGCAACGTGAACGATACATGCCAGGAAACACTGAATTATTGTAATAATTCAGGCTGCTGTTCATTGGCGGTAGAGAACCTTACTTCTCTGTCAGTAAGGTGTTAACCTGCTACGCTTTTACATTTATAGAACCGGCTGACAAATATTCACTTTTAATATCGGTATATATGTGCGGAAAGCCTATCCATTTCAGAATATGCAAGACACGGAAACTACAGATGTAGCTACCCTGCGATACAACATAAACACATTTTAAAATGTGAAATTACCTGAAAAGAAATAATCTTCAGCACGCAATGAAGCTACAGACCTGCATGTTTCCGATTAATAGTGTTTTGCTGCTAGTTCGCTGATCCTGGCAGCATATTCATTTTTCTTTGCTAGATAACGGACTACTGAATAATCTGCTCCTGACACTGTCAGTTATCAAAATAGAGACTGACTACTAAATACAGTTAATTAGCCGGTGTAGGCAGAGTCAAGTAGGACGCTACCTGATTAAACATTGCTTAAAATTATCAGCTCGCTAAGTAGCTATTCTATTTCCCAGCATGAGCATTTAATCCGGTCGGTGCGCCACCTACCGGTCAAGCCGCGCAAGTTTCTTCCGAAAAGCGTGGCTCTACATTTACCCACAGCATTTTAAACAATTCAAGTAATTTCCTTGTAGGATATTTTCTGCGAGGCTTCCGTTGGAAAAAAGGCGTTTACTTTGTTCTCGTCCCATCGTCACAGCACTTCATGTTATTTCTTGCGCCTTGCCAACGAAACGGGAGGAGCAGCAACAGCAGCAGCAGCCCATTCACCTTAGCAACGAAGAGGCGGCGCTTACCACCCGTTGAGATTGACGTAACAACGCCCAATCGCATTGCGCGATTTTACTCCGCCGCTGCTTTGCATGTATCGACCAATAGCAAGCCTCAAAACACTTCCTTGGTTTTGGGTTGAGAGTTGAAACGCGTGTCCCACATGACACTTGTAAGATGGCTCTGATCGTCAGCTTTTGAGTTATAGCAGCAGAAAAGGCTGCATAATCCTTTCCTTTTCAGGGATGGACATTATGCAGCGGATATAACATAAGTAAAGGTAAATTACAGTGGAGCTTCGGTTTGTTTGTTGGCTGCCTCGATTGTTTTTCCCACAAGGTCATTGCATGTTTTTGTCGTCAGCCTAGCAGAGATTCCTCAAGTTTGTGTCTTTCTTCTTCGCGTTTTCATTATTTGAAATATTAGCACATCGTGACATATAACAGGTGTATGTCGAACAAATCACCGGTTTATTTCTTATCGTTAAATTGTAGTTCCGTTACTAAGGTTTATACGTTGAAGTATTTCGAGTTTGTCTCAGTGTATTACAAATTTTAATTCAAATTAGAATATTTATTTTTTCTTTCTGTCGTTCGTCAGATGCGGTCAATTTGAATATTTCTATGCATAACAAGATGTCACACGATGCCATATCCGTAAGAGAGTCGGGAGAGAAACTCCCCAGATCTTTGATCATCGAATTACTATTGAAAAAGTACGAACGGCTTCCAGACACAGACAAGTACGTAACTATACCCTGCGCCGTTCATTAATCACGTACATAAATTTACGATTAGTCTAATGTGTTTAATCTTTATACAGGAAGCTGTTTGCCTTTGGCCCCGTCTACCTTGGAGCGAACGGAGCGTTTGCTGGACTGATTGCCAATAGTTTATTTCGGCGGGTCCTGAATGTCACTCAGGGCCGAATCACGTCATGCTTGCCCATGGCCGTGCTGCCCTTCCTCACAACGGTGGCGTTGTACAACGGTGTTGTGTCTAATTCATTGATGTCCGGTAAGTATTTCCAGTTCGATTTTTGAAACATAAGTCCGTAATAATGAGTTTGCCCAGCTAACTGTTGGTTACTATGTGGTACCCAGGGGAGCTGAATTGTCCAACCTGCGCACTGATCAGAGGCGGTGTCGTAGGAGCCGTGAGCGGTGGCCTGTATCCAATCTTGTTGGCCTTACCTGTCAACGCAGGTCTTGCAACCAGGTAGGTAGAGAACACGCCCAAATTCTCCAGTAACATTTATATACCCATCATACTACAGGTACTGGAATAAATTTAAGCAAAATGCAACCCAGACCTAAACTGTCAACTTAATTGTAGAATTTCAGCAAAAGTTAAGGTACCATCTAACATGCACGTAATTTAACAGGTATAATACAGCACCTATGCCTGAAAAAGGAAACATACTCCGCTTTTGGATGGCCGTAACCCAGCCCATTGTGAGGAAGATGTCCTTCGTGGTGATCCTGCAGGCTCTTTTTGGGGTTTTCTTGAGTTCTAAGCACTACGACATCTATGTTAAAATGCTGAAGCTACCTGAAACAGACAGTGAAGAGCTGAAGGAATAAATGCAAAGCTTTACTCATCGGATTGTCTCATGTCTGTACTGAGGTTAATTCTACCCTTCCATAGAATTGAGGTAAGAAAAAAAAGAAGATTGTTGATCCCAGACGGAAAAATGCAACTTACTCTAGTTTCATTGTAAAACTAGAAATTGACAGAATACATAATGGCTGGCAGTTCTGCATAGAAATTTTAAAAAGGGATACTATACCTAAGGGAGAGACCAAGAAATTTAACCTCATTCTGTTCATTATTATTGTTATAAACTGCATATACAGCAATGCTTTTACCAAATGATTCCATACATTTTCTGTGAACCGCTGGCCCTTTATACTTAATCTTGTTAAACCCACACAAAGCATAAAAATTAGCCATGTACAAGACTTGCAGTACATTAAATGGGAAGTTCAGCATCCTCCTTCACATTTAACAGTATATTAAATATTTGGAGTTGATATTTAAATATTGCCGTTTCTTGGTCAAAATAACTGGTTCAGCAATGTTGACTTGATAAAGATACAGCAGCACTAGCTGCCATGCTTTCTTTGTTTGTTCAAGTCTTCAAGGAATAAACATTTTGGGCCAAGGGAATGATTAATCTCCATTGTCAAACTATGAAATTTGAGTTTCATACAAAAAAAGTCAATCAAGATTTACATTTTAATGCAGAAAAGTGATTTTCTCAATAGGGTTGGGCGATGTCGACCAATTTGGCATCGTACGATGTCTAATGTGAAACATCGCGATGGACGATGGCATCGTCGTCGTAGGCGGCGGGTTGGGGGGAGGGATGGTTGTTGTTAAATAATTAATTCATGACAAATTAATTAATTGTAGCCTACCGTTTCCACTACCTGACCCGCATGGTCTTTGTTTTACCCATAACCAAACCATAAATAAAGATAAGTTACACACAAATTACCACCTGTCAATCACTTTTTCTGCGGGACTCTGGCATGAATAGGCACAGTGATCTGTGTCGTTAGAATGGCGTCGACAAACTTGGTTGGTAATAAAGGTGCAAATTTACCTATCTGGCAATACTTTGGCTTCAGACAGAATGAAAGAGGACAGCCACGAGATACGTCTGAAGTGGAGTGTAGGATTTGCGGTCAAGTTATCCGCGCAAAAGATGCGCAGGCGACAAATTTGCGTGTTCACCATCCCGTGGAATACAGCTCATTGTCAGTGTCATCACGCACAACTGAACCTCGCAGGATCCAACAAACAGTATCTGAGGTTTTCGCTAAAATTACTAAGTACAAGCGTGAAAGCGAAAGATGGAAGCTGTGACCCGCTACCTAGCAAAAGAAATGGTTTGTTTTAATACGGTAGAGAAGAGTGCATTTAAGGCTATATAGTGTGATTAAGTGTGTGTTTTTCACGAGTTGGTTGCTGCTGCGGCGGGGGCGGAGGATCGCGATGCCGGCTGAGCATCGTGATGTCTATCGGCCATCGGCGATGGCATCGTCTATCAACCCAACCCTAGTTCTCAAACACTTTGCATAGAAGAGCTAGCAAATTCCATGTTAAAAGGAGCAAGATGGATTTGGTTCTCTGTATCTAGCTAAATGCACCCTATCGCTCATCATATCAGAATTTTATTACTGTTCCAAATTGCAGTATAGACATGTTTTAATCTACCTGTGTACACTCGTCTATAGAAATGACACAAACCATCACATTTAAAGGCTCAGAACCTGCATGCCAGCAGAACCACGGTTCATAATCACTGTCCTGGAACAGAGTTTCCCAGTCCAGGGAGCCCACTCTGAATATTCTGATTAAAATTCTGCCTCATAATTAAACTTGACTGAGCTGATGTTTAAAATTTTCCATCTCATTAAAACAATCAAGCCTTCAGTTATATATTAAATAAAAATACTTTCCCTTACTACTTTCCTATATTGGCAAAAAAATCCACCTGCCAGCCACCTCCAGAGCAACACACAGCTGTAAACTATGTTTCTAGGATGTCAGGAGTCAAATAGTCCTAAGTGCAGCTTAGTTGAACGTCTCATCAATGGCTAATTAAAAATTGTATTGGAGCAAAGCTATACAACCATCCAAGAAGCAAAAGGAACCAGTTAAGGGATCACAGTGTAGGGCTAGCAGATACGTGATAGCATTCACTTCCACTTTTTGCCATAAGTTATCACAGACCAGCAAATTTCATACAGGAAAAAGATCTTTGCATATATTCAGTTTAGCTTGATCTGAATTCATGGATCCATCCAACCAACAGCTCAGTCAAGGTTAATTATCAAAGTTTAAGAGCCACAGAGATGCAGTGGAGCATCAGGACTGCAAAAATCTGTCCCACAGAAAGCAATACCATTACCACGCTTTATCCATTTTGATGAAGAAAAAGATTAGAGGATGCTTTGCAGATATCAAATTTGCTGTTTAAAGAGAGAGAGAGACAAACATTAATTCCAATTTCTCTGAACAAACCGTCCAAATCTGGTGTGAGCAAAATCTAAATAAAATCACTAAAACTCACAAATGAGTGTATGTTAAAATGGGATTTATTGTGAAATCATTCTGTGTTAACTCAAGTAATTGAAACATGGCTTACATTTTAAACATTTGAACAGAAACAAAAGAAACTCAGGACAAAGGCTTTGGCTGCCACAAAATATTGCTCTGTGACAATCTTAGGAACCCCACCTATATATGCAAACCAGCGACATCTTAATGAAGCCTGTATAACATCACCTAAATATTTCCAGAAAATCATGCATTTATGCTTTAAAATGATTTTCTCTGCTTTGTACCATTTCAAAATTACCTGGCCATTTCTGTACAACTGCAAGTGTACATTGAAAAGAAAACTGCCTCAGTATATACCAATGAATCCAAGGCATGATGGGTTAACTCTGATATTTTAAAAGTTGTGGTGCTGTGAGATGCCAGTAAAACCCACAAACTTACACCATCTCTTATACTACCTTTTAACAAATATCAGGCCAAGATGCCAGCAGGTGGTCCCGTTTCTTCAGCATTCCCCAGAGCAGAATCCACTTTAGCATAAAGAAAGATAAGGATGCTAAATGAACACATTCTTCAGAGAAAAAGTGACGTTTCACAAAGAGAGCTCAATCAATTCTGGTTATGTAGGTGAATTTGGGAGAATTGTGAAGTCTCACTTATGTAAATCTAGTAGCCGAGTCATTATTGTGGATAATGCAGGATAAACTCTTTGTGAAACCTCACCATATTTACAATATTTTACAACAGAAGATTCATCATGAGCTCTGTCTGTTTACAGTTTTTTTTTTTTTTTGAGTGCACTTTTCACAATTGCCTTTTATAGGAGGGACTGAAATTAACAATAGTCCAAGATTATGAGAATGAATGGAAAAAATGAAGCCCAAAGCTTCTCATCTCCTCCACCAAACTTTTACCGTTGCAAATTTACATTTCACAATTACATGGAACCTGATAATTTCTGTCCCTGCTTAACATCGTTCATTTTACATAGTCTTAACATGGCTCTAACATGGGCCTCCAGATATAAAAATCTATGCAGCACGAGGTGTTTCAAAGCTTTATCTTTCAGTATATGATCCTTACCATGGTGTCATGAAGTCGTGGATGTGCAGTCACCCACCAATCCGCCATGGCAGATCACCTAGAAGAAAACTATCGACAGGTTTAGCAGTAACTTGTACGGAAAGCTGGTGAGCAATATTGTCTCAAAACATGCGCCACCTTGGATACCATCTGTTATCGTTACAACGAACTAAAACAAAAACATTTTGCTCATTCTCGTTTAAAAGTTCATACATCTGTCCCCTGAATGTTCATTTTAAACTTTTTTTGTCCAAGTTCAGTCTCGCGACGGGGGGGGGATAAAGAGAAGAATTAAAGTTACTTGACCCTACATTTTAAGTGAGGAGCTTGCGCTCTCCGCACATTTACTGCAGAATTCCACTGAGACGTGGTTCGTATCGACGTGCAGGCAGATGCCACCCGCCGTCTCCTTCTCGTCCACCTTTACCCTCTTTCTAGGTAGGGCATAGTCGTGGTCATTCTTGTTGGACTCCTGGAAAAGCGAGGTAGACAATTTCATGCCATTCACACCGCTCAGTCTGGATAACAGCTGGGCTAACATGCTTTCGTTGGCCAGCACGGCCCTCAGATACCTTGTCTCGTCTTCCAGTTCCTCCACTCTTTTGTTCAGTTTTGAGTTTTCCTGCCTAAGGCTACAGTTTTCAGTTACCAAAGTGCCAACTTTTTTCTCCAATCCATTCACGTATTCTTTCTTCTTAAGGCGGTTCATTCTCGCAGCAATCGCGTTCTTGTTGATCCGCCCAGGGAAGCTCTCTTCTAGCTTCTGGGTCTTCTGAGCAGGACCTCTGATCTTCAGGGGGGCGGAGAGCTCCTCTATCCGCGAGGGCGAAGCTCCGATTTCCGCATGATCGTCTTCGTCGGCATTCGTGGTGGCGGCCCCTGTAATGTCGAGAAGCGGCGACAGCGCGTCATCGTCCAAGGTCCAGTTCAGGCCGTCCAAGCCCAGGAAATCCTCCAGGTCCAAGCCGGATGCGTCTTCGCTTTCTGACGAAAACTGTTGACAGACAGATGCCTGCTGGCTGTCAGTCGTCTCTGCGGGCTCCCGTAATGCTGCAGTCGCAGGACTCCTTGCTCCATTTCTCCCATTTTCGCCGATGCGTCCCCGTTTCCTGGTGATCATACTTATCTTCGGGGTACTTCCGCCAAACGGTCCCCGACGTCTCCTTTAACCACAATAAAAATACAAATTTAACGTCGTTATATAGTTATACACAGCTGATAATACGTAACTGAATATACACTTACCTAAAATATATAAAATAACCACGGTTCGAGTAAATATTTGTACTACAATATAGTTAAAGTTGAACCAAATGTATTTTCAAACTGGGCCCAAAGCAAAATGGCTAACAAGCTAACTCGGCTACGTACCTGGAAAGACTGCCTCGATTCTCACCGTTAGTCGCCACAGCTAAGTGCATAATAAGCAAAATATACAAAAAGAGCAAACGTTAGATACATAGATTTAATACTGGGACTGAAGAAGCGTTTTACTTCGGTACGTAAAATAAGCAACTAGTTTGTTACCGAAGATGACACAGCATTTTTAAAAGCTAGCTAACAGCGCACGAACTTACCAATATATTCTTCACCACGTAACAAGAATTTGCGATCTTTTACCATCTGATTTAATGCAGCTCACATGAGCTTAATGTCTTTCGGTTGAAGAAAAATGAAAAAAAAAAATGAAATATTCTTCACAGTGTCTGGTAACCAACCACACTGGAACAAAGCTGAAACTCATACGAAGAGCTGACGTTGGGAACATGGCGCCAGCCCGAGATGATGATAATCTCGCGATATCTTGAATACATTATCTCGAAGGGCTTAACCGAGGACCGATGTCAATTACAGTTGGCATGTGCGTGCTCGTCGCTTAAATAACTTTAACTATAGACGTTAATCTAAAGCCAGCTCTCTGGTTTTAAATACTTAACATCGGTTGAGGGATTACGCAACACGTTTTTAAAAGTGTGCCTCTTTATTGTACAGTAAAATGTTATATAACAACAGTTAAATTCCTCCAAGATGAACATTTGCTGTCTATAAATGAACTCAATAATTAGCATACATTTAGAAAATTCCCAGGACTCTGTACTGGATAAATGGTTTAATGATGATTGGATCATTAAAACTGATGATAAAATTCAAGTGACAACGTCAACACTAAGACAAGAACCACACTTTTTTATATAAAGAAGGAACATGAAAAACATATATTTGACTTGAATAACAACGTGTCAAGGCTTTTAGAAAGCAGTTGAACACATATTTTAGATGTACAATATTCATATTTAAAAACAAAGATAATGTTGTAATACATGACACAATGTTAAAAATATTAAAAATGTCATCATCAAAAATAACAGCTATACCAGTATACCACACTTAATTGAGGTATAAATTAAAATAAAGAAATCTAAAGACTGTCAGTTTTATCTAAGCCACCACATAGAAATTCCTCCTAGTCCTCTTATTTCGACATACTTTTGGCCATCAGGAGCATTCGTAAATGAAGCACATCTTCCACCCATTCATTATGATGATTCATCATCCTTTCCCACAGATTTGCTTCATCTGATTTGGAATCCATCCATTCTACAGCTGTTCCATAACTTGTACCTGCAAGCAAGAGTGACATATGTTTCATTAATAATGTACAAATCTAGATGTACTTTTGTGAACTAAAATAGTTATTTTGCATAAAGTAATACATTACCAGTTGAAATGAATTGTCTACCCTAATTCTTGGTTATGAGCACAGAGATTTCTCATACATAAAAATCGCTTGTGGGAGTTTTACTTACACAAAAAATGTTCTGAGGGCAGAATGAAAAATTATTGGTTCAACCAATCAGATTGGAGAGGAGGTGGGTCCAAGCAACTAGATGAGGTTGGTCCCATCTCCTCTACAGTTTGATTGGTTATCCTTCTGAACCAATCATATTTCATTCTGCCCTCAACATTTCTGAGTAAGTAGAACTTCCATGAGCATAAAAACCACACAAGCTTTGCATTACAAACTTGAATATGCAAGTCTTATGGGGGCATAGGGGGAGGTTCAAGAGGACTAGCTACCAGTCCAAGCCGATGTGGGGCCCTAAGTGACGCCCCCTGAGAAGCTGGCGCCCTAGACGGCCTCCTATGGCGCCTACAGGATTGACCGGCCCTGCTTTCACAGATTAAACATGGCTCTCACCTTTACCAAGGCCAAGCCTCAGCCCTCCTAGGAAGCTGTTTGAGAGGCGTTCATGGTCCCACACTGTAATCTCCACGCACACCTCCCCTAAGTCTTCAGGCCGGAGACTAGTGTACACCATGGTGTGGTTAAACTCTGGGTTGGACGTCCCCTTTAAAACCCGCGTCTTCTGACAACTCTTCTTGCTAGTGTCAGGCAGCATCATGCTGCAGGAGTACAAATGCAGACAGAGTGAAATTTGGGGCACTGGTAATTTTTCACCCCACATTGGTATTAATTATTCATTTCTTTCCCATTATAGTAAAAGAAAAAAGGTGACATGAAAGAGAAAAACGAACAGTGGCCCCTAGTGGACATATCTATATTTCATGTAAGAGAAAAGGTCTGGAGCAGCAGTTTTTAGCCAGAGCCACTTAATAATTTAGTTGTGTGAGCTGTTGAAAAATACTTTTCTGTCACACTTATATTAATGAGGCTGTGTGCCCTTCAAGAAGTGCTGCCTGCATGTCTGTAATGACTGTAAATTTTATGTCGTAAATGGTGAATATGTTCAACTGTTTTGCTTATTAGTTTCTGGGCAAGCAAATAAGTACAATTTCAGGTACTTCCCCCCTCCCCTTGTGCCCTGTGATGGACTGGTATCCTGTCCAGGGTCTTCCCTGCATTGTGCCCTGTGATGGACTGGTATCCTGTCCAGGGTCTTCCCTGCATCATGCCCTATGCTACCTGGGATAGACTCCGGGACCCCTTGTAATCTTGCACATTATAAGTGATTGGAAGATAGATAGTTTTTTATGAATATACAGTACATTTAATAATGTTCATAATTCTTTTCATAAGTTAATTTTAGTTTGGTACACACAGTGGTCTCATAGGATACAGTGCCGCATATTGAAAATCAACTGGTTAAACTTTTCCAGAAAGTGCATATTTCAGTTATTCAGGTACTGGATTAGTGGATCGTGTTGCCTTTCAAAACACAAAACAGAAAGAAAAATAGTTTGTTTACATACCACTTAACAAAAGGGTCAATAGCAGCACCCCTGATCATAGGCAAATCCTTGCAATCCTTCACCCAGATCTGAACGTCGCCCATTTCGGTCGGCTGCTTATCTAAAGGAGGTCATAATTAAATGTTAATAGCAGATCTGTAAGAACCACCAGGAAACACCAAGGCTATGCTGTTTAAAATACCTATATTACCCTACAGCCCTCCATGCTTCCTAAATGTTAATGCTGCACTTCCTGCTGATTTGAACAGTTGCCTTATTAGGTTCTTGCTTTGTTTCAAAGATGTTGTGTTGTGTTGTCTCATGTCAATGTAAATGGACCCAAGCATTAGCTTACTGTGAGAGACATGTGGCAGATAACGAAGGGCCAATCGTATATCTCCTCTGTAGTCTAGGGGCTGCTGGCTTGAGGTACTCTGTGGAGAGACATCAGCAAGTACAATTAACTACCATACTCAGGGTGTCAGATCTTTCACTGCAGGGATGGCCCAAAGCACAAGTGAACTAAGCAGCTGCTTTACGCCCAGCAGCCACCAGGGGGCCCCCTCCATCTGATCAGCCTGTCCGAATGTGAAGGAAGATGACATATGACAACGAAATTAATCACATTTTGTTTAGGGCCCCGAAAAGGGTTGGCATGGCCCATGGGTGAGTCATTCTTCAAAGTAGGACTATTCATAAATATTAATGAAGTACATAAATGTGAAGTGCCCAGTTTAAGTCTTTAACAGACTGTTTGATCATTTGGTACAGAAGGCTAGAAATAGTCAAAGGTTGTTAGTTCAATGGCACTGATGCTTTGTTAAGATATTACCCTCGGTTTCAGGAGAAAGTCGTTCATCTTCATGTTGCTGAAGTCCCACTTGGATAAATCCACATCCACCTCGCCCAGGAAACTATTCCGCCCAAAGGTGTCATTGTGCCACACAGAAACGTTCAGGGTCTGCGTCCTGAGGGTCTCCATATCCACTTTGTACTGTGAAAGACAGTAATTCTATTTTGTTCTCTGGCTGGTCTCACGGGAAATTAAGGGGGTGGGGGGGCTCTGGTCTAATCCGAAACCCAGATCCACGCCCAGCTGTAAATTTACTTAAATGCTTAATTGTTTTTAAGTGCTAAACACATCTCTTACCCTAAGTATTTCATTGTATGTTGGATTAATAGTCTTCTTCTTCACAGATGTTTTCCTTTTTCCCATCCTGGACTTGTCTGGTAACAGGTAACTCTTGACATAACTGGAATTACAAATGTATCATAAGCAATAAAACACTGACATAACTGCCGCCGTTGCTGTAGGTCATTTACAGACATAAAGTGAAAGTTTGCAGCCTACATATTAAGTGATTTGTGTTCCTAATACTGTAATCACTGTGGGAGGAAATGGAATATCCGTGTTTTAGTATGTTTGCATAATCAGCTACTCATCTAATGCTTTAAAAAGAAAAGGTGGTTAGCCTGCTAATATAAATATATACTTTTTTTAAACAACTGTACAGGAAGCATTAGTTCATCATTTAACTCTGCAGGTTAGACCTTTGTGCTTCTGATTGGAAGGTTACTGGATCAAATTGTGTGCAGTGTGATCTCACCATTTGACACTTCAGCACTTGTAAGTGTTTATGTTAAAATATTGCAGACGTGTAAAGTGATAAAGTACAAATACTTTGTTGAGGATTTTAGTCAGCTCATTCACCACTTATAAGAGGTCTACAAGTACCTGCTCATGAAATGTTTATGATTCATTATTAAATCTGCCCAGTATATTGATTTTTCATTTCCCATGGAATAAAAATATCATTTTGTTAATCTGCACCAGCAAACTCAGTGTCACAACAGACAAGACGAAGGACTCGAGGGCAGGCATTGTGTCAAAACAAAAAAGGGGGTTTACTGAAATGAATGAACAAACACTGGAAAAAAACAGGATCATGAGGGTTCAAAACAGGAGGACTGGAACAAGAGAGAGCATAGGCAACAAGAAGGTTCAATATCCATGACTGGATTGAGAATGACAAAACTTAAGGTATTTAAGTACAAAAGACTAGCAAGGGGCTAACAAGAGGCAACTGGGAATGAGTTCAACATGAGGGTTACAAACAAGATGCAAGAGGGGTAAACAAGTAACAGATACGGCCATGACTGGGAGGAGACGGGCAGGGATATGGCATTCGGCAAGTTTCACTGCTTTTTCTGAATAACAAGAAAATATGCAACTTAGTTTTTCTTCTTGTGTTGCACTGTAACTTACAATGCTACGTTCAAACCTGTCCTGAGTGAATTCAAAAGGATAGGTTGGCTTTTGTTTCAATAGATTTGAATATATAGTACTTTTTATCCAAGTACTCTAAAATTATTTACTTTTACTTGAGTAGTACTTTACCAGATTACTTTTATTTTTACCCGAGTAACATTTTGGTGTGGTATTTGTACTTGTACTTAAGTATAAAAACTGAGTACTCTTTCCACCACTGAAAGAATGTAATTAAAAAAATGAAAAATGCGACATCAGACATTGCACTGTATTGCACTGTATTGCACTGTATGTCTTTATGTTAAATCCTGATACATGTGAACACTTACGGGTCGGACCGGTTCTTCTTGGTGTCACCAACAGCCAGGTCCTGGCACTGGACCACAAAGATGTGGAACTCGCCCAGCTTCGGCACATAGCTGATAGCGAACTTGATGGTCCCCTTGACGTCCACACTGCCAAAGTCCCCACTGTAGATGCTCATCACACTGCCAGTGACCTGCCATTCACAGGGGTCATGCAGAGGTTTTAAAGAGGTCACACTGGGTCACATGAGGCTTGTCTGTGCACAACAGCCCTGATTAAAGTGTTTAATAGTCCACATTACGAATGTATCATCAAATGCTTTATGTCAGCTATCATTGCTCTTTACACATGTCTACTGTTGTTTCCAGAAATACTTTCAGAAAGACATTATGACTGATTTACTTTGTACTAATCTCACATATTTCCCTGATGATTTCGGTTATGATCGGTTATGATCTCCCAGTACTCCCAGTTTCGCAGAACTAATTCTAGTCTCCCAGTATTAGCTTGCATGTGAATTCGGGAACAGGCAATATCCTTTCCTTACAATTAAGAAGATTATTTTTGAAACATTGTGACATAACATGTTAATTAAAACAGAACTGTCATGATAACCCAACACAAATAAAGCCTCAATACACATTTCTGCATGGTTAGACATGGGCGCCTGTCATCCTTGTCGACATACAGAGGAGACTGATGTCACACCAGAGGTGCCGCTGCGCATAGTGAAGTTGCTGTCCCTCCTGTATGGGCTAGGACTCTGGGCGCCATTCTAGAAGAGAGTGCAGGAACGAACATGGATGAGTGGTAAGATGTGGGTCCCCGTGACAGGCCCGCATGGCCAGGGAACACGCGGCTGCGTTAGCGTCAGAAACACAAACCGTTTCCAAGGTTACCAATCATCAAGAGGCTGACAAGACACCAGCAAAATGCAATGAAAACCACAAGTTCATCATACATTCATAAAAACATACACTGAAGGTAATTAGGAGGAATTAGGAACATAGTCTAACCATAATAATAATAATTATAATAATAATAATACATTTCAGATATTTCTAGATCAAAGTGAATCATTTAATTTATACTGATAATTCACACTGACTGACAAGAGTAATGGCTTCACACTCATTCAGATTCCTATGGTCACAGCTCCTATATAAAATATTTATCTTTACAGTCCATTTACAAAAATGATTCATCTAAATTAATATACTTCAATATTCATTCATTCACACTGAAAGCTGCTCATAGAATAAAGCACACTGTGATTCTACCAAAGTCTCATTATACTGTCAGTCTGACCTGCATCTAAGACCGAGTTTCTAATTATCTTCTAATACGGAGTTTATGCTGCACTATTTAAAGAAGATATTATCCGATATCACACATGTACTTTTCATGTGAATATCTTTGTTCCTTGTTACTTATGAGTGCTGTAGTCTTCCACTTTAAAACCCACAAATGTGACTGTAGGTTCATAAAATTACAGCCTGCGGTATTAGGCTACTTGACACCCCCTGTAGTCATTTATGGGAGAATACAAGCAAAAACCAGGTTAAATAAAGCAAAGTCCTTGTATGTGACCTTGGGGATAGTTATCTCCTCTTTAGCTCCTCTTACCTCCTCGAGCACAAAAGCAGGCACAGACCTGCACATGTTCTTCAGCTGTTCGGGGTCTGAGAAGGAGGCAGGGAGTGGGGGCACGTTGGAGGCTGAGAAACAGAAGGGAGACCTGAACACAGCCGTTTTACAGGCCCCTGACTCACCCCCTCAATCACCACCCCAACCAGGTTGTGTCATCATTTGCAATGTCAGATAAATGACTTTCGTGCTACAGGGAAATAGCCTACATTACTCACTCTAACCAGGTAGCATTTTCCCATCGAAACTCTTGTGTTGACTTTCAGATATTTTAAGTGAATGTAAACCATGGATCCTGCTATGTTTCCATAACTTTCCTTGTGTATTATTTTCCATAAGAAGAAGTAATACTAACCAAATATTGTGGACGATGTTCAATGCGTTGCACAATGCCCATCTGATTTTCACACATATGCAAATATAGCATTTCAAAAGGAAAAAAAAAAACACCTGCCTTCCTCTTCCTTAAATTTAAATGAATGATCGAATTTGTCCTATAATAAGCAGTTATAACCAACCTTTGAGTCAACATGCCAGCCCGATCGATAGATTAGATAAGACAAAATGTTTAACACAATCCAATATATATAGAATTTTTCAGAAAAGATTCATTTAATTCTACAACAATGTTAAAATAAAATACTTCTCTTTTATTACTACAGTTACAGTAAAACATAAAGACCCAGAGCACATATTTAACATTACAATCGGCCTCATTTTTTAAATGACATGACAAGGTACAAGCAATCCAGTCCTTTCCAGGAGTAAAACCCTGAGATCTGATTGTCAATGAGATCTTCATAAAAGTTGTTTCCATGTTATTTTTCCACTTGCTGAAACCTGTTAGAATACATGTTAATATCTCTATTGGGAGGCAAAAGACATCGACCAAATGTCATCAGGAAGAGAGCCATCAGGCTCTTCCATTCTGTGAATATTGGAAAGCTGGCTTTAAAGTGATATGTTGAATCCAGGAGAAGAGTAACACACAGAACCAAGTCTAACACAAGGTCATGTCTGTATTAATGGCACAAATAGATGTAATGATAATTATTGAGTGCTACATAAGCATCAAACCAATCAATGGATGGTATTCTCCGTTGTTCTTATATTTGCTACTTTAAGAAAGAGAAACGAATTTGGGTCTGTGTTTCCACTCTTAGATTCAATCATCTGGACTCTCCACAAAGGAGGAGGAGGTGTCATGCTCACGTGTCGGCAAAGACGTAATGTCCATAAGACTTTTGGAGATGGACATCGGTCTGGAAGCTGCTTGTCTCACAGCCATGTTTCCTCGTTTAGGGTATTCACCATTTCCTGCGACAAATTGGGAGCAGAAGCCCAGAAGTGGAAACCATCTTCACTAATAACACCAAAACAACCAGGAACATCAGAAGGACCACCTCCCACACAGAACCTCTCCTACCAGTCACACCCTTATGAAAAAATCATTGTCTCTCTTTTTAGAGCTGTAACACGTATTTTATACATAAGAAACTAAATATGCTATATACAATGATGTGTTTTTCATACAGGGTTTTAAAGCCCAATTTAAGCATGCTAGTAATAATCAAAATCAGGAGAATTGATGTTTTTTTCAGTAGGATTAAAATGTAGAAGCAGGGTCAATTTCCTTGCAATACAAATAAACAACATTAATATAAAAATGACTGTATTTAGTAAATATGATTAACCTAGAAATATGAGGATTGCACCATTGTATTTATATTATACCCTATTACTCTGCTTCCATCAAAAATCAGACCCAGCATTATCATCAGAGCAGGTCATTTGAAATGAGGCCTAAGTCAGCGGAGCTCAAACTCACAGCTCCCAGGCTGGACTTGGCATAGAATGCGATCAGGTGTCGGGTACAACACACCACTACTGCAGGGATCCATATTATCTGCAGCACAATAAATATCTTCAAAGCTCTTTTCCTCACTCTTCTAATTTTATTGGCGCTCTCCTGAGATAACTGGTATGCCTGACTAGAACAGATCCAGGCACTAAACTCAAATATCACTCCTTTCTTTTCTTCTTGTCGGAAGCCATTATGTTATTGGGAATCCCTATGTATTGTTGATGTGCAGCTGGGAGGAAACGTCTTGCCCTGGGACCTTCCCTCATCTGAAGACCTTGATGATTTTTTTCCCAGTCACATTTCTATAGGCCATAATTTCTTCACTTTGGCTCCAGTCCTACTGTCTCCTGAAAGCCTCTTGAGGAGTTTTCATCATTCAAGCTGTCTGGATTTGTACAGGTGCTCTGTCTATGTCTGTTTAAGCCCTGTAGGCTTACTTGTCTCTTGGTGAGAATGATATTTTTGTATCCCATTGATATTGTGGGAAACAGATGTTACACCTCTCATTGTAGATTGTTCCTCATTCCTCTGTGGCAAAGGATGTCTAGATGAATCCAGCCTTACAGTCCAGCATTGTGACAAGACAGCTTCCGTTTCAACTGGTATGATTATGTCAGACTCTGGAAGCAAAATTTCATATCAATTGTTCCCAAATGGTGGCAATTTCTGTTTATCCACAAGTTGTCCATTAGATGTGAAGACATTGCCAGAATAGGTCATTAAATCTGTAACCATGGACATGTTTGCAAACTAAGAGCAATTTTGTTATAACCACTATCTACAACTTTGTCAGACTCAGAGGTAACACATGTTTTACTTTGAGAAGCAGAAAGGTTTGTAATTATTGATCTGGAAAATGAAACTTTACCTAGTTTGTCAACAGTTACTGCAGACCCCCTATTCTCTTCCTCCCAGAAGGACTTGAGGTTGGTTATATTGCATATCAGGTTGCACTATTAACTTGAAGTATCCTGCCTGGTCCTGGGCTCTGTAACATGAGTGAGATGCCTTGAGACAGTGACATCATCTTAAAAAGATGATGTCACTGGTGGAACTACCCTGTCCATGGTGGAACTACCCTGAGTCAACTACCAGATCGTCCATACATATTCCCCATAGGGTCAGTAGTTTCTAAGGTGTTTATGCATTATATGCAGGCACTTCTCAAAGTTGGTTCGCTTTTTGCTGTTCTTTCAGCATGGAGATGTCTTTATATCACTGTATCTGTATGGTTAGCGACTTGGGTGAACATACTGAACACTTTCATGCTACCATGAAAGTCTGCCGTATCATTAACAGCAAAAGAAACAGCAAACTTTTCCAAGGAGGTTGAGACCAACTTGATGGGTTTCTGGGCAGCTACCTGTATGTCTCTCTGTCCTTCATTACTTGGGAAAGAGTGGGAGTTGTGTCGTCAACATTTAACATCTGTTTTGAAATCAGCTTTGCTTCAGTTAGTCCCTCTTGTGCTCCAGCAGCATGAATAAACATCTTAAGCTCATAGATCTTCTCTGTGTAGTGACACACTAAGGGGTGAACAAGAGCCATAAAGGTTGCATTCAAGAGAAAAAAGAAGTTCTTGGTAACACTTTGTAAGCATATCCTGCTTCCGTACATTTGTCTTTGAAAACTTTTCTTCAGCTGTAGTTTGTTCCTGACTGATCACTCGACTCCTTAAGTGATGTCATTAGGTGGTGATGTCATTTTTTTCTGAAGGCTTAAAGTGTGTTGTGTCACCAACATTCTTGATAGTTTCTTAGCTTGCAGTGTGTCTTGATTTTGTCTGTAGCAATTATTAGAGCTAATGTTTGAAGGCAATGGAATGTATGACTTGGCTTACCTGAACCAACCAGACAGGAGTGGACATAATAACCAAGATTACCTGCAAGAGAAACAAAAAAAACCAAACATTTTTTGTTTGTTGCATTCCAGAGGGCATTAAAATTATACTTAATCAAACCACTTTTAACCCAATGCTTCCTTAACATTCAAAACCCCTGTTACAAGAGTAGCATACTCCTTGCAGTTCAATTCACTGACCACTATCAGTGAATGATGTATATGCATATATGTAAAATATTCATATACAGTCTGTATGGGGCATGGACAGAATAATGGAAACACTTCATGCAGTACAAAGCATCCTTAATTCTTATACTGACAATTATAATGCATTACGAAGGTACCTATACTGCATTACATAAAGCATAATAAACATGGCTATAATGTGTTGTGAGATTTTTTATAAACATTTGGAGTCATATTTATAATACTTTATGAATCCATTGTAATGTGTTAAGAATGAGTACATAGATTCTTATGGACATGGCATTCACAATAAGTGTTACCAAAAATGACCATTTTGTGCATTTTTAAATTTCAAAAATTCAATAATTTCAAATAGTTTCAAATAATCCAAGTACTTTTTAACCACATGATATGTACAATACCCATATCAGATAAAAACTTTTGATCACTTTTTTGTTTATTTTGTAACACAACATGCCAACAAATGAACATATATCTTTAAGACTGTGATCATAAAGACATGATAACTAATAAACGAATGTGCAGAGTGGCTTATTCAGCCCCCCACCCCCCAATTAGGTCACATGGTTGTCCTGGATGTTCACATAATGGGTAAGGAATTCGAGGCCATTTCTCTACCAGGTGTACCCTATGGTGCGAACATTGTTCCCTCATGATGTTCCCATAGTCCAAGATGGTATTACCCCCAGCACAAGGAACCTAAGTCAAACTCTCTCTGTGGCCTCCTCAGTCATCAGATCTAACCATCCCTGAACCTTTATGGTAGCTTTTGGTGCACAAAGCGAAAAGTAAATTTCCACCTCCTTAAAGACCTTTAGGATTTACTTCTTGCAGAATTTTACAACACAGAGGGCCGGATTTCCATGACATTATTCCTAGAAGGACTGAAGCTGTTCTGAAGACAAAGTATGGCCCTACTCCTCATTAGAGTCTTGACATAAATACACTGTTATACATTCCATTATTTTGCCCAGCCCCAATATATATCATGCACAACAAACATTAATTAGTAATAGCAAAACAGAGAAAAATTAGAATACTGACTCAGGTGTTCTTTTCAGGATGTAATGAGTTGCAGCATTTTTTGCTAAATAAAATCAGTAGTTGGACCCTGGTCTTCAAATTCACTGTTTTCCGTAGTTTACAGATTAACAAAGTTGCACTCAACTGATATTTTGATTTGAACTGATTCATCGGTTGACATTTTTTTAACTCATTTTAAAGAGGCAATTATTTCACAATGTTCTTATGGAACCTCAAATACTGTACATGATCAGGTGTGGTGCTTCCTCTGGGGGCTCCCGCTGGTGCCCAGATTGATAGGGATGGAGGATGCCTGCTAAGAGCTGAAGCAGCACTGGTACGTTCACCCTCTGTCAGTCCCGAAAGCAGCATTCTGCTGAGGATTACGTTATTGCTTCCATTGGTCTGTGAGCTATTTTTGTTGAATGTGCTCAATCCTTCATGGTCACATGGCGCTAAAACTTTCAAGAACCTGTAATTGGTGCTCCCAGGGGTTACAACTGTCATTTGTCTCTAACTCTCCGGCGCTGTCGCCCACGGCCAAACATGTCTAGTGAATCAGTGGACCTTCTCTCTGCGGTGGGCAGAGTCCCTGTACCTGGACTGCATGCTGCGAGGCTCAGCAGTCAGAGAGCTTAGCCACAGGCCAGACGACCTGGAGCTGCAGCTGGAACTCTGCCAGATGTTACCCCTGAGAATTCCAGAGTTGCTAGGCAACCTTATCCCTTCCTTGTTTTGTGGGAGAGGGCCCGTGATCTGTGTAAAATGACGGTTCGCTATCTGGAAACAGCCAGCGGAGCATCATAACCTTGTGAATTTAAAGCAGGCTATGTCACTTTCAGGTGTTCCTAACAATTCTGTGCAAAAAATAATAGGCAACAATATGGAACTGATAACGGATTTATAAAATGCTTTCCCCAAGTTATACATACAAATGTAAAAATGAGAAGGGCAGTCGAACCCCCCCCCTTAAATGCATTACGTAATCTAGCATAATAAAAACATACTTTAATAATGTTTTTCAAATTTAACTGAACACTCATTATCTTTCATTAAATTAAGAGCCCAAAGCCATTGTTTGTTAAGTAACTGCAGGAATGTCAGACTTTTTATGTAAGATCTTCATTGAAGTATGTTGTGTGCAAACCAGTCATATCTGACAATTTACAGCTTTAGCAGGCGGCTACATACAGAAAATCCGGCAACTATTTGATCCAAATAACTGAAGATACACAATAGATATGCTATCGTTGGAAGTGAATACTGAACAATTACATTTCTGCATGACTCCAGTTAGTGGCCATTGCAATACAAACTGAAGACAAACATCAACACACGAAACGTACAAAGGGGATTCAAGAAGAGACATGTGTTCAGTGAGCACGCCTTTCCAGCCTAATCCAATTCAGCCTGTTAAACAGGCTGACAGGGTCATGTTGCAGTGACAAAACATGCAAAAACACATAGTCGTGCATGTAAAGAATACTCATGCAAGATGAAGTGAGCCACAGCAAAACCAAAAGGCCAGATGCACAGCTTTCAAATGGGACCAGTTCACCAGACTTACTTGTGCTCCCAAGGAAAGGTTTTGATAGCATCTCGTCAGGGCTGGCCATTCATTTACAAAGACTATACATTCTGCTACCTAAATGGGACCCTGAAGACTGAATCATTAGTGACATTAATCACTTTCATGCATTGCTTTCACACATCAACAAATAAAAATCATACTACATGCATAATACAATAGGAAAAAATAAAGCCAGCTTCCAAATATTTCACTTTACCCTTGACTTTACTTAACTGTTGCATTAATGAATACGATTCAACCCCAATTTCAGAAGTAATCTGCACTAATTCAGGCACATCAAATTATGACAAGTGATCTCTTTAATGCTTTGCATTAGTACCAAGTCATGTGAGACAGAGCACTGTATAGATGCAACGAATACAGCACTGAACATAATGATCACCCCCACATGATTATTCTCGTGTTACTCACATGGTTACTCTCTTGTAAAAACGGCATACAGAGATGTCAAGGTCTGGGATATATTAGACAGTAAGGTAAGATTCGGTACTCATAGTCAATCAGATGAAGATGAAATGGGCAGGGATAAAGATCTCAGTGACTCTGACAAGGGGTAAATCATTATGATCATGACTGGGTCAGGGCATCTCCAAAATAAGTAAAAGTGTAAGCACACACACATACATACACATATATTGGGTGGCTAAGACTTGTGGATCTGAGATGTGAATGAAGGGTAACCATCTTAATGATGCTTACAGGATTAATATGTCATGGGTCCCTGCTGCGTATGGGGCTACATAGCTGCGGATCGAACTTGTCGATCCAACCCATCATACAGATACTTGACACGTACCCAGCCGTCCACAAGATGAGACCGAAAACAGGACTCTTCGGCCCAGGGGACCTTCTTCTATTGCACCGAGGTGCAGGATGGCAGACGGGGGTCAGCATGGACACTCTGACTGGCCTATGACTAAGCAGCCCCATATGCAGTAGGGCTTGAAGCTCTGTGTCGTGACATGCTACTCCCATGACCATCATCAAAATGACCTGCCATTGGTGTCCTTCAGTTGGTTCCAGAGTTGGGTAATTCAGGTCCAGAGAGTAAAAGTCCAGACCTACGGTAGGTTTTTTTCCCAACCAACCAGTTGAGCATAAAGAGTCACAGTCACAGAGTATTCAAATGGTTGGTGGAAGCAAAATCCCGGTCTGGACTTTCACTCTGTGGATCTGAATTACCCAGCTCTGGTTGGTTCATACCACATGGGATAGCCCTAATTCACATCCCTCATTTGTGAGTCCTGGCCACCTAACACCCTGGTGGCAGATCATGGTTTTTCCCTCTTCTGACCACGTTCAGTGTGTCCTCACCCCGTAAGCCTTGCCGTGTCAGAGATGCCCTCACCCAATCGTCTGGCCTCTATCAAAGTCATTCACATCTCTATCCCCGCCCATATATTCTGCATTCAATTATCACATTCAGATTGACTCTGGCTACCAAATGCTGACTTACCATCTAATATATCCCACAACTTGACATGTGCTGTTTTTACAAGATAGTCAACGTTATTCACATGCGGGTTATCATAATGTTTTGGCACATCGGTGTATAATGCCATACATTGTATTCCTGAAATGCAACTTTATCCTTTGTTTTCAGCCATAAAGGAGCAAACAATGGCATGTCACTGGAACACTGATACACACACCGAGGACAAGATGACTACAGATGACTAATATGGATTGTTTTTTTGCCTTGATGAAAGATGAATCATTGTGGCATGCATGTTCTTGACATAATACACACAGAGTGGTTTTGGCAAATTCAGTGGCAATAAATAAAAGTCATTTAACGGAATTAAGATCAGATTACATGAATACTGAGTATGGCCAGTAAGTAAGGTTGCTGGTTATCTAACAGCAATGTTTGGACCAGAAACCCAGTTATAACCAAGTTTCGTTGTTCTGGAAGAATACTGTCTGCTGTATAGGACTGGACAAGACTAAACATGGAAATTGATAGATAGGTTATTTTCCGTTAAAGTTCTACACCTTTGTGCCTTAAAGCTGGCTGGCAGGCTGCCGTACTGACCCTCGTCAGCTTTATCCACGGCTCCGCTGGTCAGCTGGCCGTCTCTCTCCACCAAAGCCGCTGCTCCCAGCTGCGTCGTGTTCATCGGGTTCTGTTTTTGCTTTAGAAGCAGAAGAATGGAAATTAGTGTCTGTGCCACTGTTTCACTCTGTGGGCCACCATCCTTGATGATAAAAAGCAAGAGATTCATGAAGAATTACATATAAAAACAAGAATAACCACAAAATATATGTTAGCATTAGGGGAAATATGATCCCCACATTGTACTAATTAAACCACCCCCCCCCCCCAAACACACACACACACATGCATACACACTCTCACAAACACACACACACACACACACTCACAAACACACAGACCTATACCCATATCTTTGCGGGGACCATCCATTCATTTGTGTGGGTAAAACCCTAATCCCAACAATGACAACCGTAACCCCTCCCCAGCCCTAACCTTAACCATAAGCAACCAAACAAAGTTTTTTGGCATTTTTAGTTTTTTGATTGCAGCCACAGATTTTTATAAAATTGAATTTCCCCTTGTGGGGACCGAAAAATGGGCCCCACAATATCAAAATAGCAAGTTTTTAATCACACTGGGGGGACATTTAGTTCCCACAATGTAATATAAACATAATCACACACACACACACCTCTGCAGAAAGAGGAGCCGTGAGCTTCTTTTTGTCAGCTGTCTCTTCTAAAACGAAATGCTTCTTTCCTCTGAAAAAATAAAACCACATGACATATGTAATGATATATTCTCCGTTGAGTTTTTGGTACATTTTTAATAAAGGTTGGAAAAAAAGATTTTTAAATCAGACAAACAAATGTGACAAATAGAACTTTGACTGATTGACTGCACATAGGACCATGTGAGAATAGGTCTCTCAATTGGTGAGCTTGGAAATCTCCACCCCTGATGCCCCCTGCAAAGTGCCCTGCCCCTGTTCAGACCCAAACTGCACTGAGCCAGGATCAGGTTACAGAAAAAGCCCCAAAAGTATTAAATCGCAGACGCCTCAGCTGAATAAAGGCTTTAAACTCAACAAGGATGATGCAACTGTCTTTTATGTTGAGAAATGTGAAATCGGTCGTATGTGTGAAGGGAAATCGCTGACAATCCGAAAGCCCCCATCAATGCAGTCAGGTGACTCATCCACATCAAAAGTAAATTTGGACAAGGTACTTAGATAATGCGACAGAGTCACTCTGTGCATTAGCCATCCTGCCTTGCTGGTTACGAATAAACATGCAATTATGCTCCCAGACTAAAGCAAGTATAAATATGTTGAACTTTCAGAATATATATGTGAGCTAGCTTACATCATCTTAACAGTGCTGGTCTTTGGTTAGTTGCTTTAATGAGCAGATATGGCATTTGTTTGCCTGCAAGAGTGAATCTGCAGAGAAGGTTTGAGAATTTCAGCTCAAACCAGAAACCTTTTTCATGCTGAAGATTATACAGAAATAGTTTTTTTCCAGCCTGAAAACAACAAAGTTCTAACAATGAAAATGTTAAGAGAACAGTGTATCTGAGTAACAAGACTAGACACAAACTACAGTACATAACTTGTAAAACCAAGTAAAACCAGTAAAACCGATACAGAGTGGAAAATGGGAAAAAATGAATTTACATTGAGAGTAGGCACAGCGTAAATAGATACACTGGAAAATACCTTGCTCAAACGCAACACGCAGTTTTCGGTGTGCTGGCTGATAGGTGATGCTATGCAAATAAAACCTGTTTGATCCACATGTCAGTGACTTACACTGCCTTTCAATCGCATTTTCTTCTGAATGATGAAACTCACATGTTTACACAGCCTGTGATTCAGAAGAAATAGTCTAAATCATTTATAGTTTTAGTGCCAGGCATAACTAATCATTGGCAATTAAAAACCATCACTTTTGTAGGGCATCACTGTTTTTTATTACTTAGATCTTGCTTAAGGGGGTAACAATAGCCCACCCCAACAATTCAAGACTCAAAAACCATGAAGTCTGGTCTACATTGGGGCCTCCTGCCTGTAGCGTGTACTGTTTCATCCTTCTGAGATCACAGGCTGGAGCAGAACTTGTAAAATATCCATCATCAAAATCAGCTCGAAGGTATAAAACAGTCACCTCTCCTCGTTGGTCGGAGATGGCAGCTCCTCTATCAGTCCAGACAGCTCTGCTGGAATGAAGACCTCCTTGTTTTTGCTGTTCACAAAGCTGGGGTTTACATCCCACCTCTGGGTGAGCTCCACTGTGACGGAGGAGCACCGGGAAAGAGTTACGTGAGAAGATCAGCGTTAATCTTGGTGGATTACGCATCAGTATTTCATGAGATTAGCATTGTGATTCTGCGGTCCTCAAGTTGTCCTGGTTATGACAATGCAGGAATCTTCTTCTGCAGACATTAAGTATGCTGAGTATAGAGCACTGCTGTCTCAGCCAATAATCTCATCCTTTAATAAGACAGCCTTGTCAAAGCTATAAGACAGGTGAATCTTTTACCTTTGTCCCAAGTGTCTACTTTGAGAAATACTTCAGTAATCCTGTGCCCAGAGGTATTAAATCTCTAGTCTAATTCATTGCCCTCTTTTCACTTACAGGTTTGCTTTGTACCGGAATATTGAAAGAATGCTGCCGTATTCCACCTTTAATATCACCTCTGGAATGCTCACTTTACCATATGCACAAAGTAAATACCCTTCATTTCAAAATAAGTTTTCAAAGGGTAGTTCACGCTGAGTTCACCCACAAGACGACATAGGTTCAGACGGTATTTTCTCTAATCTTTGACGATACTGCCACTCAAAAACTCTGAAAGTGACTCGATGAACATTGAAAAAAAATGCAGATCATCTGGGCAGATTTAACTACGCAAGATGAAAGCTTTGGTAGAAGTTCACTACTTCAGAGTACCATGATCCATGTAGGAGATCCAGAAGAAAATGCATGGAAATTGTAAGTTTCTTTTCACCTGATAAGCTCCTTTTTCTCCATCAGACAGTTAGATTTAGATGGTCTAAACATATATTTCTGTTACATCTGCAGAAATTGGGTGTCAACATTCTGCTTGAGAAAAAAATGAAAGTATTTTAAACTTCAAAAGAAAAGCTCATGCAATCTCCTGTGCTTGTTGATATACCAATTAATGAATGTTAATGTTTTGCTCATACGGATGCAATGTATAGATAATAAAGGTATATAATATCATTCTAGGGCACTTTTATATATACCCCAAGCACTGTAGGTTTCCCTGGTTACTTGGCTTTGGGTTGAAAGTTGCACCATTCGCTGTTCTGATACTGCATCACATGCTAGTTGAAAGGTAGCAGTTACACAGGGTGATGAGGTAATCCATGTCAGGGAGGACACTGAGCTAGGACAGAATTTGTAAGCTACCATCACTCAGAAGGACCTGGCTTTTAATTAAGCACTGAGGTCTTGCTGTGTGTTGATTGGTCAGTCTCCTATAATGAAGCGTATGTCACTAATGTGAAACAGCTGCATGAGTCTTTCAATCAAGGAAACAAACCAGTATTAATATTCTGAATCAAGGCCCTTTTCAGGGTTATAAAATACGCCACATAGACAAAACCCTGTAAGCTTTACAAATTGGCCTTAGAGTGTATAAGAATATGAAATGTGACAATGAGTCATTTTACCCCAGTGACATTTTGGAAGACAGAGCTCCCAAACACTCACATAACGTTGCAGGTTTCTTCTGCATAATGGACCTCGAGATGATGTCAGATCCGTGGACCTTGCCCTGCTGCCTCCGTGACTCATAAAACCACTCTCCCGTCATGTGCTTCAGCTTGCTCTGGTCTTTCAGTGTCTTTTTCAGCTTCCTGAAGGAAGATGTTATTTAATATACAGCCGTAAAACTCCAAAAGTTAGGATACATGGCCAAGCTGCTTTTTGGTACCAAAGCTATTTTCTCTTATCCAGCCAAACAGGAAAAATCTCTTGTCATCTTGGCCTTGAACTTAGAAGTTGAACTACTTAAACTGTGGACTCTTTGAACTTCTGTGAGAGACATTCCTGACATTCACTGAGGTACAAGCTGATTTCTACAATTAGCCTAGAAAGACTGAAAATGACTGCAAAGAATATACTTAAGTAGGAAATGATTGTAATGGGCCTGGTGCTTTTTGTAAGAGGCATTTGTAATTGTTTGGACAACAAATAAATGGACGGATGGATGGATGGATGGACACACTATGTTTTTCATGCTTAGCAAGTAACACATATCCCATTTCAAACCTGGGCCAGCTTTTAACTCATATGATATCAAATATCTTCTTTTGCAACACCACTGGCAATCAAACAATGCCAACAAGTAAAACAAGAAACAGACAAATAGAAAATATGTACCATGTAAATAACATTTGACTACACAATAGTCAGTAGTTACATAAATAACATCCGCAAGTTTATTAAAACTGCAGTGCTGGGGCCAGTGGGGTGAGCTGCAGTGGTGTCGGATGTTACAGTATAAATAGGTCGGCGTTGTGTTTGGTGTTTGTGTCTGATCCTTTTAAGGGCTGCAAATAAAGAGTGCTCACATTCGCATGACGCTACCTCGTCTGCTTGGCGATGCCTGGGTCTGCCAGTTATTACACTTGTGTCAGAAATGGGGATCCAAATGGGGGCGCACTGGAGAGCCAACCAAGGTGACACGGAAAGCTTGATGAGACCCCCAAGAGCTCAGCACTATGATGCTAGTGCCCCCCTGCCCGCTGTAGTGGGAGCGGTACCACCCGGGGACACCGAGAAGACCCGTTACGACAGAAAAGGGCCCCTGGAACCCTAACTGGCCCAGTTCTGGTTAGTGGCGCGGTACAACAACTGGTCCGCCAATGAAGCAGTGGACCGCCGGGCCATGCCCCTGGAAGGGGAGGTGCTGAAGGCCCCCCTAAGCCTCTCTCCTGGGGAGCAGGATGATCGTGTGACCCTGACTACCGCGCTGGAGGGTTGGTCTGGCCAGTCTGCCAGTCCACTGGGAAGATGAGGGAGAAACTGGTGAACCATTGGCAGCACACCAGTGAAAGTCTGGGGCCGTTTATGGATGTACTGGAAGATGGCGCCCGGTGAGGCTACCTCACTTCCCCGGGCAGCGCAGGACGACCCGGCCCTCCATGCTCTACTGCAGCCACTTTCCCTAGATCAAGTGCACTAACACGTGTGCCTGATGAAGCCAGATACTCTGGAGACGATCGTAAAGCAGGCAGAAGAGGCTGAGGAAGTCTTCTGCACAGCGCTGCGTCCACCTCGGAGCCGATCCTGCGCTACAGAGGACACTGAGTAAGAGGAGGTGTGGAGAGCAGGAACACATCGCTCACAATTACCCTGCCCCAGCGCCTCGCCCTTGCCCCGCCCCAAACCACAACTGGGACACACTCAGCAGGTGGCACCACCCACAACGCATGTCAGTCCAACCCCTGCAGGTGCCCACAGAGTTGGCCAGTTCAGCAAAGCTAGTGGTCTATACATCAACGCCCTGCCAAGCCCTGGTGGACACAGGGTCCACCGTCACCCCAGTCCGTCTGGGCATCCTGCCAGGCGCCGACAGGGCTATGCCAGCCGGCTGGGAGTCCACAGGCATCCAGCTGGCATCGGTGACTGGTGTGCGCAAGGCCATGAGGGTGAAGTGGCAGCTGTGAATCACATTGGCAGGACACACGATGGCACAGGAGGTCTGGTTTCAACCACTGCATCATTGGGTTGGACCTGTTAGTTCACCTGGGGGCCACCATTGATGTACCATGGGTAGCAACAAGCGGAGGAATAACAGATTTGAGAGATGGGGGGTCATCGAGCCGTCCGAGAGCCGGTGGGCGGCTCCAGCGGTCCTCATCACCAAGGAGGAGGGTTGTAGGGCTTCTGCATTGTTTACGATGGCTGAATGCGGTGATGAGGAAGGACTCTGCTTACACGCATCGACCGATTACATCACTTGGTCGACGCGGTTCAGCTCCCTGGACTAGCAGGTCGAACTGGCCCAGAAGCCCATCCCAGGGCTGCTTTCACCATCGGTAATGAGATCTGGAACTTCTGGTTGATACCATTTAGCCTGTGCAACGTCCTGGTCACTTTCAAGAAGCTCATACAGTGTATCCTGGCCCGCCCCCCCGCCCCGACCCGACACAGCGCTGCTACATGACTCTGACCTAGATCTTAGAAACTGTGCTCTCCGAGATCTGGTGGCAGGTTTGGGGCTGAACCCCAGGAAGTGATCTCCTCCAGTGCAAGACCCACTTCCTGGTCCACATTGTCAGTGGGTAAGGCGAGGCCACCGACTCAGAGCAGATGGAGGCAGATGGAGGCGGTCAGCATGCCTCAAGTATCAGTCAGGCCTTAGGAAATCTGTAAAGCTGCTCCTGTCCCAAATACTATCTGATGAATCACCAGTCAAGCCTAAAGATGCATGAAGGGGTTACCTCACCCTTTTCGGGTGCTGACATGCGCTGATGCATTTCTGGTAAGCATTCCTATTTTTACCCCTTTACTGTTACTTTATATGACATCTCTAAGTGTAATTAGTTGAGTGAGGTTGGGTTTGCCACTAAAACAAGCAGACCTCTCTCTGCCCACGACTGGACACACCAGCAGAATCCCTTCTGGTTAAACAGAAATATAATTAAATGAAACATGCCTGTACATCCATCTGTCCAGACACAGCATTGAAGAGTCAATACTTCAGGTGAAAAGCCCATGTAGACAGAGAACACAGAACTGGAACCAGATTCAGGTCAAAAACCTACATGAAAAAATTGCTTTTAAATGCTATTTAAAATAAGCACCAGACTGTGCAGAGTTTATATCATGCATATGTTGATGTGGCATTTTTTGGGTCCTCCACCTGATTTCCAAAGTCCAAGTGAATAGATGGATGGATGGATGGATGGATGGAACGTTTACAGATATAATATTTTACATACTATCACTACCTTATTGCCCAGTATTTGATGTAGTTGCTTCATCACTGGCCCTGAACTTTACCTGCAAGTTTCATGTGGGTGTTTTAATTAAATTAAACACAGGTGATGTCAGTAGCTTACTAGCTCACTAAGCGTCCTTACTACTGCATTTTACTACCAAACAATGCCAGCTTGTGTTCTACTTCCTGCATGCGTTCTGCATAGCCTCCTTCCAACAGTCATTTGTTTATTGTCCCCTCAGCTTTGAGTGGATGAAGGAGAGCTAACAGAGGACACACCACATGCACATAACCGGCAGTGCATCTGTGAGGGCCACAGAGGTTTGCGGGTCCCCAGTCAACAACAAACAATCTCCACACTAAATACAACATGTTGCTCTAACCAGCTAGCTGGCTACGATCTTCAAACTCTACCCGCTAGCTATTTATTTAGCTTTCGAAACATGTGAGGTTGAGTGGTGCCCCAGTAACAACAATCCTGCCCTGACCATAACACAAGCTCAGCCCGCATGCAGGAGCCAAGCCCACCTGACGCGTTGATCCTCTGCCTGTTTCAGGTCTGTGTCCCTCTTGAGCACAGTCATGATCATCTCCTGCTCCTCCGCTGTCAGATAGCTCAGGTCTAGCATGGCGAATGTGTGCCGTTCCAGCCGGGTCCAGGCGTATTGGGTCGTGCGGTATCAGGTCCTATTGTCTTCTGCTGACGTTGATGTGGCTTGAACTCCGAAGTTCTACCCCCGGAAAGGTTGCATCTCTGAGATCTCTCTGATGGCTACTCATCCGGGTCCCAGGTGTTGACCATTACATCACCTCCATCTCAACTGGACGCCCAGACTAGAAGAGAGTCAGGGCAGGTCCACAGCAGACGACGGATAATCTGCAAAAGGTGATAAAATACTGCACCATGAGCAGGTGTGTCTTCCAGTAGAAGTAACATAGTGAATTGTATTCCATAAGGACTAAACAATCATAAGGAATTAAATTAACAACTGTTTTTTTTTATTAATATATCATTCATATAAATACCACAAACAAGTAAATATTACTATTATAAAAATATATGTGGTTAGCTGGCATGGTGAAATAAAACTAGATCAGATACTGAAAATAAGAAATAAAGTGAATGAAATTACACTAAACTAAGAATTAGAAAAGTACATTCACTGTGAAATATGATGAATAATTTCTGGCTTAGACTGTAAAGGAATTGTGGAATTTTTTACAAATTAAATTGTGTTTAATTTGAATTAAGCAGCATCCACATTCCAGAATCAAGAACAATGGACCAGTTTGACTTAATGCCATAGTAGCAATTTGAACAAAAAAAAACAACTAGGAAGAACTGACTCTACTTGTACAGCGTTTTGTTTAATTCATAATATGTGCCGATAGCTGAAGTCTGTATCTGCTGTAAGCAGGAGCGCCATAAATGGGGGGGACGTCAGGATGATTCCAAGGCCCCCGGAGTGATAGGGGCCTTAAAATATTTGGAACATAATTGGAGTGGTCTGGGTTGGGGGGGGGGGTGCAATATGATGGGGCCCAAAATCTCTAGTAGTGTCCCTGGTTGTAAGTGAACCTATATGCTTATACTGACAATACTTGTCAGAATGTAAATGGCCATAAACCAGCTTCCTCAAGCATAATAAGACATATTTTTGATTTAAAGTGTATTTAACAAAAAACAATTTGCAAATTTATTGGTTGTTTTGGAGGAAAAATATTAGGTCTTTTTTATAATATTTTTTTTTAAACTTGTGCTATAACAAATGGACCATCTCTATAAAGACGAATGTCCCAGGTAAGTCATTTATAAAGATTACGGTGTCTGTCAGATAGGCTACACTATGGTCAAGTACTCATTACTCTAGCCAGTTCAAGAGTCACAGGACTAATCATGAACGCTATAGTTCCCAGATTCTTAAATGTGCACAAACATGCAAACGCTCTCATGCAGAATAATCATTTGGTTCAAAAGGCAAACGGCAAAGCAAGCAGGACTCAGCAGCAGTCATGTGATTTATAAGCGTGTGAACTGTCATGCACACGGGGCTGTAAGGCGTGCCTTGGTGAACACTTCAAAGGCACCCACACGATTAGCCCCCCCCCTCCCACCCCACCAAAAACAGACCAATAAGGGACATTCCTACAGAGACTTCATTGCACATAGCAAAAATATATATAGACAAGCAAATTTAACATACAGACTAAACACAGAAAATAATCAACGCTACAAACCGCCAGAAAGAGCAAATCTTTCTCAAACAACTCTTAACAAGAATTAACTGCACTCCATGCTATTGCCCTGGCAAATGTTTTTGATAATATATTCTTTTTTATCCAATATTTGTTTTCGGTTTTTATTTATGCTCATCTGCATAGTGCTTGTTATCACTGTGGCGACAGAAATGCTACAAAGACGCCCCTCAGTACACAGGCTAAGAATGTCCATTTTGGACAAATCTCCAGCCCAGGTTCACTGCAATAACAGCAACAACAAAATAATAATAAAACAAGCACAACCCTGCAATACTGAAAAGGATAAGCGGTTAGAACATGGATTTATGGATGGATAGATGGATGATAGAAAAAAAGCACCTATTTGGCATTCAAAAGTAAACTGAATAATATAATAATGCACTACTGTAAGTTTCACTGAGTCACCAAAAGGCACTGTTTTTCTACTAAAAATACACTCGTTAGTAGTGCAGTAGACATGCAGTAAACATACTAAATATTCCAATACAAGATTAGTCATGTTGCGTGGATCATTGTATCTGCCAATCAAAAGGGACTGTGTAATGTAATCAGCACAGGATATCAGCTGTACAATCCTGCGAATCTGAACAATCATTTGCTCATTATCTCTCCAGTCTGCATGACATAAACACAGCAACAGCTCTCTGGTTCCTTTAATGACTTCCCAGCAAGGTTCCAAATAGAGTTACTTTTCAGTGGAAAACACACTCCCACAGAAACTTTGTTGTGAAATGAGGTTTAGTTCCTATAGGCTACCAATCACTGGAAAAATTACAGTCCTTCTTAACAATCCTTCAGAAAGCATGGAAATCCTTCCCTTACCTGATAGGTGCACATCTAACCTAATTTACTTTATCAATACAGCTTTCCTAGGTTAGTGAGTCTCTTCTATACTTCAACACCATTTTTTTGTGGTTTTACAATCTGACTTTTCTGTTCAGTAAAGTTAAGGTAATGCAGGTTAAAAAACCTGAGTAATATCATTCTCTTTCAAAAGGACAGCAGTTTCTTTCTCTTGTGGGTTACAGCTTGTGCACAAATCTGCACGGAAATAAGTCATTTTTGCAGGTCACATGGTCTTATGATACCAAAGAGATTGTGGGGAACTCGGCTAAACAAATGCATTAAAAGACATGCATCTCATTATCAAAAACCAAAACAAAAAATACAAGTCAATTTAACAGGGAATGTTTCTGTATTTATTTACTTTTAAAGGGGCCACATGTCTTTAACATTGCCAATTATCCTAAATGCTAATACTACGATATGATATGTCAGATTTTTACAAGCAATTTTTAGCCTTAACCTGAGCCACCGAAACTGCTACTTTTGCTAAGCATCACATGCCTCTCAAAAAGCTCTGAATGTCTTATCTTTCCTGGGTAGACTGTGCATGTTTCCGCAGGCCTGCATTCCTATGCGTAAGCACCACCACACCTACCAAAGCAGGAAAAGAACGGGGCTTTCATTTTAAAATCTTGAAATATCATATTTGCTCTGCCACTATGGATTTGCTGGTAAGAGATGTTTTCCACCTGTTCTGAAATCACAGTGAATTACAAGCAGACCCTTTGCATTTCTGTTAAAAACAGAACTTATTTGTAAGAAAGAGACATAAATTCTATAACCACAAATATATGAACTGCTTGGTTTAAGTCTGTTTAAGAGTGTTTAAGTGTAGTAATTATACTTCATAAGTTCCTGGCTTGGTTAAGGGAAGACCCAGTAGAGAATACTTTTGAAAACATCTGAGCAAATGACGTCTCAAATTTGCATTCACATTTGCAACTCTGGATCCCCATCGCCTGTATGTCATAAGCATGAAATACTCTGGCTGCTGGCTTTAAGTTATAAGTCGTATATGTTCAGCACAAATTGTTTCAAAAAAACATATCCGGCCCTGACTACCCAGCTCCGCAGCGGCGTCAGCTAGCCCTACAAGGGAAGCAAAACTTCACACAGTGGTACAGTCTTCATTTCTAAAACGACAAGAATAGCTGAAAAGTTTCAATCGATCGCTGAAATCGTTTCCTGAACAAGACATTAAAATCAAACAGAACTGATTGTGGATATCAAACTGCGGCTAACTTGCGCAGATCTAGCAACACAACAATTCTGAATAGGTAACATGTGAGTTTGTTTAGATTATAACGTATCCATCCAAACATGTCACATATATTGAATTACATGTACCAAATCCCTTCCAATAAATGCTTCCTACAGAATTTGCATAAGGCAGAAAAACAGATCACATGCATGAGGTAAGCACTACAATTAAGACTGCACATAATTTTCAAAAGAACAGATATATTCTCTTTACCATGGACAGAAAGAAATACGCAATAACGATCACGCGTTATATCATTCTGAAACAAAATATTACATTTAACTTCGAAGGACCAAGGATCAAAAACAGGAATATCATCATCACGGGAATTCATTTTAAAATGTTTACCCAGCACATCCGATTTCTAGGCAAGACGTAATATTTGGTAACAGTCCGGTTATTCGATAATATCCGAATTGCACAATATTCCTTCTCTAACGCAATGTTAGACTTTCGAAACAAAAACAACAACAATAATATAGGGAATATTTTATAACAATGTACAACTGTTACGGTTACGGTTAATTTGTATAGTAACACTGAAATTAAGTCCAGCCAGGGTGTTTGTAGACTGCTAACCAACAATAAATCCTTACTTAATTTGTTCGCGTACTTCAATAGCGGTAAAATACAATAAACTTGTAAAAGTAAAGATTATATTCGTGATTTCATCTGCGCTAGTCGCGCTGGTTCTGCATTATTATACATATGTTATTTTGACATGCAGTCGGTACCGGACCTACCTGTTGCACACCAAGGTACCTTCTGCGCGTTTGCATTTCACGTTTTAGCGTCATATGCCGGACTGCGTGTTAGGGCAAGATGCACGTACAACGTTACCATAACTTCAAACGGAAATAACTCTGTGACATTATAAGCTTATACATAACCTTGTTCAAAAAAATATAGCCTAGTTCTACAGACCAGAAAACAAATTACTACATGCAGGGAATTAAACTGGTTGAAAATTGCAGCAGCAGCAAATCCTTCAACTGGAGAACAGGCTCTCACACACGCAGAAGGTCTTTTTCGACAAATGTAGTAATTGCCGAATCGGAGTGGAACTGCAATGTATGTATGACATGTTCAATCTCAAATGAAGATATTTTATTGTAATCTAATACTTAATGTAAAACATAATATTTCAAGATGTTGTCTCTTGATTTTAGTGAATGGATCACCAAGTGACTGTGGTGACATTTTCTTTGAAACTTTGACGGAGCTCTGAACTTGGCATGGTCAGAAATGCGCAGTTGAAGCCAATATGACTTCATAAGCCCCAGTCTGCGTCTTTCTCTCGTTTTAAACGAACCGTAAATATACTGCCGCAACAGACACTATTACAGTTTCCAAATGGCTCTTTGCAAGCATTATTAGCTAGAAGGGTGGTGGGAGGGAGGAACAGGGGTGGGCCTTTTGGACAGCAGGGCACAGGGGGAGTCTTCTCTCAGAACATCCCAGATGGACTGTGTAGTCACCAGAGAGTGTGTGCTTATCACTGGGGTTATGCGGACCTGTTTGCAAGTTCACTTTTCATAATTTTGTCTGAGAAAAACATGTCACAATCAATTCACAAGTCAAGTCACAATCAAAATATCTGTAGGTTCTTGTGTTCCTATTGAAGCTTAGCTTGACGCTCGAAAGATTCTCCCGTCCCAATCCACTCCATAAAACTCCAAGAAACTGCTTCGCAAACTTAACTGTTTACTTAGAGCCTTTAACCAATATTACAAACATAAAAATTTATCCACAAAATAAAATAAATACATTTATATCAAAATTCGAGAGCAATCTTACCAGGAGGTCAAAAAACTATTTCGCTCCAATCTAACCTCTCTCTCTCCAACCACGTGTCCCCCGCCCTCCTTATCATAATAAAAGCACCCCAATAATGTCCATCGGAACTATATTAAAAGTCCTGTTTTTAAACATTACAAGGTAGATCCAATAAATCTTAACATTTTTGAGTCATATTTGTCAAACTAATAAACTTGTACATTGAATCAAAATTATTTACTGTTAATTACTCAAATCATATGAAAAGCATTTAGGCTTATTTTATTACAATCGACGTGCTATAATGAATACAAGACTTGGAAATGTCTGAGCGATTACATTTAAGTAACAAAAACAAGAAGAAAACGTAGACCGATTTTGAATTAAAAGGGAAGGTAAAGTCTGTAATTTAGGCATATGAACATAATTTTGAATGACCACTGATTCTGTTTTTCTGGTTTACAATTAAAAAATACCAGCTTAAAGGCCTAATTTTGTATATCATGAGACATACATTTTGTCTTAAGAGCAGAAACATTAAAGTACGTATTTAAGTTGTATTTGTAAATTCTGCGGCTATAAATAATTCAAGAAGTCACCAAAAAATTCAGACAAATGAACTGGATATTTTTACCTTTCACTTAAAAGGTGAGCTTAACTGAGACTTTAACAAAAGACATTGAAAATAATTTAGGAATATTACATGATGATTTTGGTAAACGTTCATATTTGCATTTGCCCCTTGCGCCGTTTCAATGCTCACCGCAATACCACAAATAACCTGATAGGTGGCGACCTAGAGTAAGCCGCGGTGGTTGGTTTCCATGGGAGCAAGTAAACGCGAGCCTGATGAAGCTTGCCAGTCGGTAACTTAGCTAGGGTTGAGTTTTTTTAAAAAAAATTTTATCTTTTATTGATGAAAATAAATAGCAATAAAATAACACTGATACAAACCAATGTTTAATGATTTGAAAACTTTCCCTTTTAACTATCTTGTTAGCTGGACTGCTAAATACAAACCATGAGTAATAAATCGACGACAGAAGGTAAAATTACACTAGCGGAGGCCTTCATTAATTTCCAGTAAGCAAACTTTTTAATTACTCTTTTGGAATTATTTCAAACTAAGTGTTCTTGAGGAGCTAGATATGAAAATTAATCGGGGAGATCCGATTAGCGGTAGAAAATGACTGGGCATTTTGCAGTAACACTAATTGACGGGGCACAAATAATATATCATTATGCTATTACTTATGTGTTAATTAACCACAAACTAAGTCTTATTTACATAATGATCTCGTGTTTATTCATCATTAATGAATCGTGACTCATGTTTTATCCCAAGCAGTTACTATATTTGTTACTCCATCTGTTCATTCTGTAAACCTTTGTGAACTACTAAAAGAACTACGGAAGGAAGAAGTTACGAATAACATGTGAAATAATGATCTCATGTTTGTTCATCATTAATGAATCGTGACGCATCTTTTATTTTGTTCATGATCTGTTCATAATTTGTACTTCAGTAGTAACTGAGTTATTACTAAGTGTTTGTGCCCCGTCAAGTAACATTTCTCCCATTTCGCCGTACAGTATGTAGACCGTTAACCTGCAGCTACGTGTTTCACTGAAGTGCAAATAAACTGCAGACAGTCAAAAATACAACAAGCAAAATCTGGCAAATTTCAATTTTATAATTAAATCCTCATTATTACTAAGCAAACTGACCACACTTGTATCTAGGATGTCATTGTTTTTTAACCTTATCTTTATTATTATTTAAATATACTATGTTCAATGGTTTGCTCAGACATTCTCAGACCCTGACTCCTGTTTCCAGAAATTGTTCTTTTTCAGAGGGGAAAAAGGTCATTTCCAACACACTGACCACTGCAATTACAGGTGCATTTTTGTGAGTCATGTTTCTAATGGTTTTAGAATGCAAGTGAAAAGGAAGGAAATACAGGACTGCCAGGTGGAAGTGAAACAACTTGAGGAAAAAAAACAAAGATACATTCAAGTGGTAAGATGACTTTTCAAGGTTAAGATACTATGAGATACTAATTTCCCAAAATGCAATTTTCTCTCACTACATAATATCTAAGACATACAAATATGTGGGACATCCATCCAAAATACAGACAGGGTGAGTATTGTGAAAATGGGACACCTGGAAAAATGGGACAGTTAAACTTTGCTGTTAATATGTGTCTTTAGTAATACTTTATTTTCTCTTCTATATAGTGTTCAAGGGGCATTAATGTATTTAGAATGGTATTAAGTTGGGATTCAAGACACAGAGATGATTTTTCCAGAAAGAATATTTTCCCATTTTAACAATACTCACCTTACTTCAGCAATATTATGCAGTACCTCACTGTAGGAGTATTACCACCTATGCTGCGTGTTTTAAAATGCATTTCATGTTTTTTCACAATGTGACATCAACCTCGACCCCCAGGGAGAACAGCTGAAAGTAGAGCAGATCAGCCAAATCAAAGCGCTGCTGAAACAGGAGCGAGAGCTACTGCTTAAGCTGGAGAACAGTGAGCTGCAGAACAAGGAGCAGGTGGAGGGAACCCTCCGCTGTGACCGGGAGCTGGCCAGCAGCCGGGAGGAGGAGTTAGCAGGTATACAAAGTGCCTCTCAAGGTTCAGAGAGGACCACTACTTTACTCAGTACCTATGAGAAATTAATCACATGCTGGCACCTGCAGATGTTGTGTGGCACTTACCACAGACAGTAGATTGTCTTTTGTAGGCTTTAAACTATACTGTACATAGAGGGGAGTTCCAGGATGTAGCGCCAGGTGGTAACTGTGATGTGTGTGTTGGTGAGAGAGCTCTGCAGCAAGCTCCTCGGTTTGGAAGAGGAGCTGCTGCATTTGCAGGCGGAGAAGGAGGTCTACATCGAGTTCAAGACCGCAAGATTCCAGGAGCAGCAGCAGCAAATCCTTCAACTGGAGAACAGGCTCTCACACACGCAGAAGGTCTTTGCTAAGATGTCAGGTAGGTGTCATTCCCATCGCAGAGCCACAGACTGCCCTCATGTGGGTGCACAAGCTCAGGAGATGTCACACCACTCTTAAAATCTGTGTTGCACGTTCATGCACTCTTTAAGAAACAAAAAGAATGTTTAAAACATCTGATAGGTATGATCTGATATGATCCATATGCTTTATTTAACTATTAGCAGAGAACGACACTAAAAATACAATGCAATGATTTTATTTTTGGGTGTAAAATCACTTGTGCAAATATATATCATGAAAAAAGCATTAGATGGTTCATTTCTGCTGACAGATAATTGGATGAACATGTGCCCTGCTTCCTGTAGATCACATTCAGAATTCCTTGGATGATGCTCACAGTGATGTTGACAAAAGAACAGCTTTGCTTATAGAGGAGGAGAAGCGACTGGCCGTAGAGGTACGAGGTGTCAAAATCAGCTGATCCATGAGAGAGTTATATAGACATTTAAATGAACAATCCCATTGTCATTCCTCAGAGGGCGATGAAAGAGCTTGATGAGCACACCAGACAGGAATTCAGAGCGAATGAATGGCTGAAAAAGGAGGTATTCTACTGTAATTGATTTTTTTCCCACTATTTCGCAGCTTACGCAAGACAATTTGGTTGTTGTAATAAATGAGGGAAGTCTTAAGATTCCCTTGGTCTGACTAGAGCGTTTTATCAGTATGTCAGTTATGTTCAGAATTTGCTGACTAGAAAGATCCCAGGGACAGTTGTTGTGTTCCAGCTTTCCGTGTACAGGAAAGAAGCATCTACTCTGGAGATGGACATTGACAGTCTGGAAAAGGAGAACCTGGAGCACATAAATGAGGTGTTGGAGAATCAGCTCAGTGAGCTGCACATTTCCAGGTATACTATGGTCAGCTTCCAAACTCTTCATGGTTCCTTTGTTTTTTCCACCTGTCATACCATATTTGTCTGGCTGTCTCCAGCAGAAATGTCTTCCTCACCCAGACTTCCTGTCCGCTGGCTTCTGATGTAGGGAATGGGGTTGAGACGATGGAGAGGGTAGACTGTAGATACCAGCCAGGTAACTCCCGTGAAGAGGTAAAACACAGAACAATTTAACAGCACTCTACCAGCTTAAACCAGTACAACTCCACAGCTGTTCTAACAATGGCCACTAGGGGGCACCTGGTGTGCTTTGTTAAGAGACGGTGCAATTAAAACATTCAGGGGTTGGACAATGAAACTGAAACACTGGCTCCTATTGTGTTTGACAATTCATGCCTATATATGTGCGGCCTGGTGGCCAATCTTCACTGATTGCACATACAATCAGTAAGGGCAGAGTGAGAAGGTTGAATTAACAGAGCAATAGCAGAGCTGTACGTAAAATATTGCAATCCACACAAAATAATCGGAGACATATCAGAGATCAAAAGACGACACATTGTTGGTGAGTGTCTCGCTGGCACATCTGAGACCAGGACATTAAGTCTTTGTGGTGCATTAAGAGCCATGGTATCCTGGGTAATGTTGGCATAACACCACGAAGGACAGACCACATCTAATAGGAGTAACTGTGAACGCAAGAGGAAGCCGTCTGAAAGGGATGTCTGGGCACTAACCTGGACTGTATCCAAAAAACATAAAACCATAGCTGCCCGACTCACTGCAGAATTAAATGCGCACCTCAGATCTCCTATTTCCACCAAAAGCGTTCATTGGGAGTTCCATAAGGGCCGCTATAGCCAAACCTTTGGTCACTTGTGCCATTGCCAAATGTTGATTTCCATGGTGTCGCACAAATATTGGACTGTGGACAATGAGAAATATGTATTGTTCTCTGATGAGTCCACCTTCACGGTCTTTCCCACATCCAGGAGAGTTACAGTGTGGAGAAGCCCCAAAGAGGCTTATCACCCACACTATTGGGAGAGTGCAGCACAGGGATGGATCAGTGATGGTGTGAGCTGCAATATCATGGAATATCATGGCATTCCCTAGGCCCGCTACTTCTTCTAGATGAGTGGGTCACTGCCAAGGATTACTGAACCATTCTGGAGGACCAATGTTCACCCAGTGGTTCAAACATTGTACCCTGAAGGTGGTGCCATGTATCAGGATGATAATGCACCAATACACACAGCAAGACTCGTGACAGAGTGATCTGATGAACATGAAAGTGAAGCTGAACATCTCCCATTGCCTGCAGTCACCCGATCGGAATGTTATTGAACCACTTTGGGGCGTTTTGGAGGAGCGAGTCAGGAAACATTTTCCTGCATCAGCTTCATGTAGTGACCTGGCCACTGTTCTGCAAGAGGAACATGCAAGGCTTGTATCTGTCATTTCCAAGATGAATTAATACTGTATTGGCTGCAAAAGGAGGCTCGACATCATATTAATAAATGATTGTGGTCTAAGCCCAGGTGTTTGTTTCACTGTCCGACTCCTGAAGTATGAGTACAGCTACATTTACACTTAATTCACGTGAGAGACTGAATAAGCCAGAGCAATATACAAGACCAGAACAGTAAAAGTGTAATAAATTCAGTGCATTAAATATTGACAACATTGATAATATTCATACATTGTTAATAATATTAAAAGTTGATATAGCTCTTATTAAATGTTTGAAAAGTAGAAAATGTTTGAAATTATAAATGATTGCCACTGTACTAAAAGAACAAAAAAGGTAATTTGGTTGTTTGTAAAATTGACTGTTTCTGAGGCTAGCATAACACTTTTTTCCATTTTCAAAATTAGTTATTGAATTTAGTGTTAGCTACTGTACAAGGAAAAGACTTTCTTAATCACCGCGAGAACCTATAGACTGAGGAGAATTACAGCAGTTTTTCCCCCCCATTTTCTACACTGAGCTTCTTCCCTCAACCTATATACTGCAGTGTGGTCTAAAATATATAGATTTCTAGCTTATATTTAGTAACTGCCTATGTGTTTCACATTCCCAGAAGCAGGTTGCTGGTGTTGTTTAGATCGCGATCGCGATCAGTCTCTAGCATATTTGTATTTATGTTTGTTTTATTCTGGGTGTAACTCGATTAGATGTCAATGTCCTTAAAGGGTGACACGATGCTTCTAGAACAGTGTTTCCTGATCAGGTGCTCGGGGACCCACAGTCTGTCCATGTTTTTGCTCCCTTCGAGCTCCATGCCAGACAGACCACGTTTGGACGTGGACTGTCTGTGGGTCCCCGAGGACTGGATTTGGAAACTCTTCTAGAATGTTCTGTTGCCCAATTACAGCCCCGAACAGATTACTTCAAGCAGAGCAACCTAAGGCCAACACAGCCCCAGTGCAAAGGCACAGTATTCAGGTTCAGAATCTTGCAGCTTCACAACTAGCTTGTATTGCCCCTGCATAAATAGTTGGCCTCTGCTGGCTCACATGCTCACTTGGGGAGGGGTCCCATTCAGCTGGCATCGCGGCAAGCTCTTGCGAGAAATGCAGCCGTGTTCTGTGATCGGTATCAGGTAATGGAGGCCTGAGCAGAGGAAGGCAATGAGTCACATCCTCTAGAGAGCACAGCAGGCTCACCCATTTCCGTGCGAGACGGAGTGGCATCTCTGTGCTAGTGAGCTGAACAGAGATTAAAAAACGCAAATGCTGTGCATTTCGTGCTGGGAATCTGAAGGGACCTCTGATGATAGTCCGCCAATTTTGTCACGTCTGTGGCATTGCCTCGCTCTTTGTTCAAACATTGCCCTTGTAGACAACACAGGCGGACCCTCAACTCCCATGAGCCCAACGGCGGAAGCGGAGATGGTTCTGGGCTGCCTCATGGAGCTGGAGACAGATGAGACGCCCAGTAGCTGCAGCCAGTCAGCCCAGCAGCCCCCTAGCCCAAACCAGATAATGCATGGAAGCCAGACCAACATTCAGGTAAGGAGCAGCTTACCAGTGCATTGTGGATGAGAGGTCAGGACAAAGGAGCTCCGCACTCTGAAAGCCAATACTGTCACTCAATGTCCATTTCAATAATCTGATGCAATGTTTCGCAAACCAGTCCTTGCTCTGGCGGCTCCCAGCCAATCAAGAACACCGAATACCTGGTACAAGGTGTGCTGGGAGCTGGAAGGGAACAAAACATGGACTGCCTGTGGTTTCCTGAGGACTGGGTTGAGAAACACTGATCAAATGAAATACGCAAGTGATGCCTTAGTACAAATGTTGAAATATGTGAGCCATGAGCCTCAGTGCAAAGGCACAGGATTCAGGTCCAGAATTTCTGCATGTTCGAAATCAAGCCATAAGGAAGAAACTGGCATGAATATTCTGCACTAAAAGAACTTCAGTTAGATTCAGAAACTTGAAGGTACATTTATTGTGACATTTACATCTCATCCAAGGAAAACATATACACACTGGTGATATACAGGATTTCCTCTTGAACTCCATTTAAGAAAATTCTCCAAATTCCCCCTCACAAAAACCTTGTCAAACACAAGCCCAAAAGAACCATCACATCCAAAAATTGGACCAGTTGATGTGGACTCAGCAGTGTGCAAATACTTTATGTATCCAGAAACCAATATTTGTGCCAAAAAACAAAAATTTTAGACTTTTGCTTGGCACAAATGGATCACCAAGAAACAGAAACCTACACCCATAAATGTTACTGTACCGCCCAGCCAAATATCAGTAGCAGGTGAGTTTACCCTGTTTATCAAAATTGTCAGTTGGGGGGGGGGGGGCTAAGACCAACATAAAAATAGCACCCGAGCTGGGTAACAGTGGTCAGCCAAACCAAACATAACTTTGTATTTGGCAAAATGGTCAAAAACGCTTGAGTCAGATTACATGGACATTTAACTGAGCCATTTCCTAAACCACAACATATAAGCTTCAAATCAAGTCTTGCCTAATCTCTCCATTATAGTCATCAAGATAATCACTGTACAAACTTCAGCGTGAGCTCCCCCCCTCTGCCAATCACACTTGGCGATGCTTGGAATACTAGTGGCTGGGTGATATCTTAAAGAAACAATCCCGGTCCTTGTGGTGAATGGGCTGGCTGAACCCCAGCCAAAAAAAAGCACCCGTCCCCAGTGTGAGACTCCCTGCTCCCTCTTCACAGCAGCATCCCACGCACCGGGGACCCCTGGAACTAAAATTGTTGACCGTGGTGGGTCAGGCGGCCCCTCTGCACCCCCTCCCACTCATGCAAGGCAGCCCGGGGATGCAGCAGGACCCTGAGGACTGGCCACTGACCACCCGCACGATCCAAGGCAGGTTTAAGTAGCCTGCTTCAGATGCCCCATTCACACCGACTCCAAAACACTCAGTGCAAATCAAAGGGTGGTGCCCTTTTGAAAACCTTAGCATTTTAAGATCCATTCATTATAATAAATGCAATAAAGATACATATTGTGGTTGGAACTGAAATTTAATCACTGGATTCTTCCCCCCCCCGCGCGCAGAACACATTTCAAAAAGGTCCAGGAACGTCCCATAAAGCTCTCGATTCATCACTCGGCAAATAACTTCAAAGACTCCACACCAAATCGCTCGCTGTAGAACTTGAGGCGACCCGGAGGGAGAACTGATGACTTTGTGGAAGCTGCACTTTATTTGAAAATCAACCAATTTCTGCTTACATACATTTTAATATATAAACAAAAATAGAATCTGCATGAACAATGCAGCAAATATGCTAAATTAATGAACAGAATTGCCTTCATAATTCCGACCATCCTTCACACGCCCTGAATGTTCAGGGTCCATCATATATACACAAAGCACCGATCAACAGTGCTCCCCTTTTCTGTGTTACATGCACCTCTTAACTATTAATTTACAAAGATGCTACCGGTCCCTCCTCCGTGCCTATCTCTCAGCCACACCCACCAAAGGAAGGCCCGCCTCTCGTCTCACCCCTCAGTTCAGGATCCCCCACGTGATGGTCTTTGGAAAAAGACAGTTGGAACATGAAGGCAACTTCACATTCAGTTTGGAAAGGCAGCCATACAGTTGTCAATGTAAAATAATGACATGCCAAGCAAAAAGCAATACAGATCCTTCCCAATGCAATGCTGCAGAATCACAAATGTAGTGCTTTGCTAGTCCGATAAATGTTCCCTTGCAAAAACCCTAGGCACAGAGTTAACTATGTGGATTAATAAAGTGTATACCCCCCATAACCCTTACAAATGTAGGGCTGTGAACCTCTGAGCTACAAAGAATTGGACTTGACAAAACTGCTTCAGAGAATATTTAGTGCTCTCTCAGTCAAATGTGTCCATTTTTATCATTTATTTTTTTTACTCAGTCACTCATATTCCAATTATACAATCAACCATACCAATGTATAATCCAGAATCACTCTCACAAGCAAGGGCTCAATGTAATTAGTCTTTTTTTTTCCTCTCAATGTATTCAACAGATAATCATAAATAAATACAAACAATACACAAGGAATGTCTACTGCAAACGCAAGTTTAAAAAAATGAAAATAAATCATTGTATAAACTGTAGTTAGCATCTCTAATTGGTGACAGTTAAATTAGGTAATGCATAATTGATGATCAAATCTAGAGCTGATGATTCCTCCTCCTCCTACCCACCCCCATCTCCCCCTCCCCCCTCCCAGGAAAAACATCAAGGTGTTTGTATTACAACAAACTATTTTCTGATACATAACAGCAAAAGTCTAAATTGCCCCATTTCGGCACCCATATGCATCATTAACAGACGTCAAACATGATGAGTGATCCCACAGGAGGGTAATAACAGCAGCACAAGCCGTTACCTTGTTAGACAAATTACAAAAGCGCTGTGTCCTCTTTGATGCCATTTCAGCCTGGATCCCCCAATTCATTACCCCTCTGATTCCTTCACAAGTCCTTATTGGGCTGATATTCTCAATGAAGAGTAAAACAGCAAAGTGGATTTTGCTTAAAAGGAGAAGGTCTTGCTGCTTAGTGCTTCATCTTCAGAAAGCGACGACTCCCCTTCAGATTACATGAATTGCATCTGGCAACAAGAAGAGAGATAGGCGTCACCATCAGCTTCTGTCCCAGGACCCTGCACAGCACACCGTGCTTTTAAATTGGGGGGGGGGGGGAAGGGCACAATGAGAAGAAAATAGAGGCTGTCTCCCCCCATGGCATAGCAACAATCCTATTCCACAACAGAAATTAAAGTTGCGTAATTTCTTTCCATGGCTGTGTGAGTCACAGAGTCAGAGAGACAACGCTTCAAAAGCAGGAAGGGGAGGATAAAATGTGTCTGTGTGTGTGTGTGTGTGTGTGTGTGGGGGGGGGGGGGGGGGTGTTAAAAATAATGCCATTGAGGCCAAGAGGTAGTGTCAAGGCCTGGGTTTGCATTGCGATGCCTGAAGTACACCCTCTACTGTGCTTCATACTGGTTTTCCCTGAGATCCAGTTTTTAAGACCCCTGCAAACCTTTATGATGCATTAAATGCGACGCAATAATAATGTTCGTATCACCTGCCTCCATGGTTTAGAATGGATGGGTAAGTTAGGTGTTATGTATGTCACTGTGGTAAGTCCATCATGGGTACATCATGAGTCCCTAATCTTCAGAGGTGCCTGAAAGTTACTACTAAATGCAGCACATGAGACAGTAAGAGTACCATAAAACGCTTATAACTACACAGTAAATGGGAGATTAGTGACTGATTAAATCTGCACAAGCCTCCTGCATGTAGTTGGCTGACACACAAAAGGTTAAATCGAAGCATGGAAGCTGGAGAATGTTGCTTAGGCAAGGGGGAAAAGCTGTCCAACGTTTCCCAAGTGCCAAGCTTCAGCCAAAGGTACTGCAGCGTAAAGTGGAGAGCGGGAGGTCCTTCAGGCGTGACTCGATGACTCTACAGGCGGAGGTTAAATGTTCAGGAAGCCGTACGGGGTGCGATTTGCATGCAGAACGGGTCACGCAGGCCATGCATCACGCCCACAATGCACACGGACACACAGGACATGCTGTACCTAAAGATGTTCTACAAGAAATCCTTGAGAGAGAGTTGAGCAAAGGGGTCCTTTCCAGGAGCTCTGAGAGGACTTTGACTGGAGGGACTAGAAGCTGTGGAGGGCTGGTTAAGAGAACGAGAGAGGGAGAGGGTCCAGGAAGAGCGAAGGGGAAAAAATTACAGGGGGGGGGGGGTTCACAGGGAGAGTGATGGCAGACAGTCAGGAGGAAGTTGTGTCGGTCTGGTTTCAGGAAGAGAGATGACACGGAGCACAGTATGTTCAGAGGAAAGCCTTCAGAAAAGAAACCCTGCTTCGCAATGCAACGCTCACTCACAATCTCACCAGGTCTGTCCACAGGTACCATTATGGAAGCGGCTAGGATACATATTCCATCAGGAGTGAGAGACAGAAGCAGAATGTGTATCCTTTCCCAAGACCCATGTTATCATGCCAGACATACTAATGCCGCTGAAATGGTACATGAGTATGGTTGTGGTCTTATTCAGTGCGCTCTGAAGCCCTACGTCAGAATTCATATTGTGCTCAACAGAATTCAAAGAAACGGATGAAACTTTGCAGACAGAAGTCAGATCTGAGTGTCTTCAAATTCTAAATCTAATGAAAGTCAACGCAGAGCTCACGATGGTCGACTATGTGCGCCAATGAGAGGACGAGTCAGCTGCCAAACATCAGTGTGGGTGTAGCCGTGTCGCGGGTCTCACCGGGTCACCAGTACCGTGGGTGGGGACACACACCTGCGCACCGGGGACCGGGCCAAAGGGGTTGGGCGGCCTCAGGACCGGCTGCGTGTACATCATAGTGGGCTGGGTCATCATGGCCATGGAGCCCATCTGTGGCGGCTACAGAGGGACACAATGTTACCATGAAGTAGACATATAAACAGGAGAGGATAAAGAACCACAATGTTGTTGTCTTCATATGTTCTACAAAAGAACATTCCTAAGGGCTCTCAGATGCCTCTTAAATACGGCACAGTGTCAGAAAATGTCAGAGATTCTGTGGGACTGAAAATATAAATTCAGTCTCTTCCTCCACCCCCCATTGTCTCTGTGTGGAAAAAGGTTAATAAATAACCAGTCATTGGTTACTCAACATTAGTCATTTATGGCATCAGTAAAATGTTCCAGGTCGAGTCAAAGGGACTGAATCCCTCAGCTCAGCCCACCAGGAGCTCAGGCAGATAAGATGACTGCGTATTTTTTTTATTATTTATCTTTAAACCTGGTGGTTGCCTTTCATGGCTACATTTTTGCCTGATAATTTAACAGCGCAGGCCCCTGAATGTCACTTAGCCTCTTACGCTCCATCTGCTACTCTCACCAGCCAATGACCAAAAAACATCCCCATAACATTTGCATATGGCATCAAAGAGAAAGTCAGCTCTTCCTTCACAAAGTCTGTATCCAATATTCCCTTTCCTCGGGAAACAGAACTGCACAAAAGGACGGTAGCGTATTTCAGCCCTACGATATCCCTGCCAAAACCATAAAATCATGACCAAAGTATGGACACAGTCGAGGACATCTTTAGTTTATCCTCAGTATGAAATTCATCCTGCCACTGGGAGTTGCTCTGCTGTGCGCGGTGTGGTGGGGCTGGGACTTGAGACGTGATCTGCAGAGCCAAAGGGCCTCTTTTGGAGGGAGCCTACATGTTTCCATCATGACTCAATAGTTGTGGCAGCAAAGCATGGAAGAGTGAAGAGTAAGATATTCAGGAAGTGTTTCTGGAATGGGTCCATGCACCTCAAAGCCAAGCAAAAAGTGGACAGACATTACGCAAGATACTATGTGGCTGTCGTGGCTGCCGACTCACTGTATCACCAACCAACACCCCCCATATCAGTCAGGATAAGCTCACCCCAGGACAAAATGGGCTTGTAGACCAGCGAGCTGTGTAATCCTTAGGAACTCAACGAGCCCCAAGCCTGTGCCTTAGCTCCCAAGATGAAATGTATTACAGACGCTTAGCAGTACTGGTAGCTTTCAAATTTGTTTTAATTAAGATACAAAAAACAGCTATTAGAGGCAATGCACTGGGGCAGAAAAAATAAAAAGCTCAGGCCGCCCGTGGTTTCAGACCTCTGGATAGCCATCATATCTCCATGAACGTTCCACGGTCCACTTGTCATGGAGGGGATGGAGCGGAGGCTCACACACTATCAGATCATAAACACTCCCCCAATGTTTTGTCTAACAAAGCATTTCTCAGCCCGGTTCTCAGGGCCCCCAGTCAGTCCACATTTCTGCTTCCTCCCAGCTCCTAGCGCACCTAAACCAAACCAGCAATCAAGAACACCGCATACCTGGTATAGGTGTGTTGGGAGTTGGGAGGAAGCATCTTTGGACTGACTGGGGTCCCCGAGGACCGGGCTGAGGAAACACTGGTCTAGCATAGCGAGCGGCACATTTCCATGGACGACGCCTGCTTTGCACTTACCACGCCATATGCCATCATTCCAGTCGGCGTTGTGGCAGGGAAGGCCATGACCGAGGGGGCCTGACAGAAGAGGAGGAGAGGGGTGAGTCCATTGCCTCCTTGCCCGTTTCCCCTACTGACCAAACACCGCCTTGACTCCACCTTTGCTAAAACACAGTCGGCATGATGGCGATGGCACCCAGCACAGCTGCTCCCTTGTTTCACCGCTTTCCAAATGTATTTTACCTGTACAGACCCCTCTTTGTCCATGCCTCTGGCGGGGTACCGCGTTTCCTCAGGCGTCCTACTTTTTACAGTAGGGGCCAGCCAGAAGTCCCCATGTGTTTTTTGCATGCGTGGGTGGGGGCCACCCTCACAGTCAGGGCCATAGTCGGCAGCTGCAGAAAGTCAGTGAAAGGCAGAGCTGAGCTGAGCTGAGCACGCCTCTCCTGTCTGTGACAGACAGAGGTCTGTTTCTCTGTCATTTCGGCCATTCAGTTACGTGAAAGGCCCCCGGGAAGGAAATCTTTGATTACCAATTCAGCTGCTCGAGTGTCACAGTGGAAAAAAAAACTGGATATATACAGAGCAAATGTTTGTTTCTGTACATAGTGCTCATTTGTTTCCAAGCTGAATGAGGGATCCGTTTGAACCCCTCTGCCCCAACACTGAAGGCCTACTTAAAATCCAAGTGTGAAATTCAAAAGAACCTTCCCATTTCTAATGAAGATCTATTACACGCTATCAATTCAGCGACTATTACATGACCAGGCAGGAAAATCCTTCACCAAGATTTGCATATCTGCTGATTAATGGAGCACTTCCTGTACAACTTATGGAAACCAGGTGCAGTCAAATCAACGAGGATCTCAGAGAGAACCCCAAGCCAGCCTACTGCCATTAGCATTTTTACCAAATGTGTCAGATCTTAATAAAATGAAAGTTTTTTCAACGCCCAACCTTCACTACCAAGAACGATAACTTTGCCCTAAGATTCATCCTAAGAAACTCTGCGTATTTCACAGTATTTGACATTTCCTTGGAAACAGAGGCTGTTTGCATTCCTCTCCAGCTCACTACTTCAGGTCTAAATTTGACATCTGTAAGCTAATGGGAGTAACCAGACAGAGCCAAATGCATAAAACTGTGTCACGACTGGTGACCACTGGGAAAGCAACAAACTCTTTGATACAACAGGGTGCCATGCCAGACAGACAGAATAGCTGCTATTTTTAACCAGTGAGCATAACGACAAAAACTACTTATCAAATACGTAAATTCAATATTAAAATTGAGCTTTCAGAGAACCACTAAATTCTTAAAGTCGCATACATTGTTCAAATGTTCCACAACCTCTAGCCTATTCTAGTACGAGTTCAATTCAAGACAACGAAACTCAGAGACATATGTAGGAATTCCAAAGTTTCCAGAGCAGTAAGAACATTATGACCTTCGGTAAGTGATGGATTATGTCAGCTCATGAAATGCCAGTAGGAATAAAAGCAGAACATGTCAAAACACTGAGAAACCATGCAGATACATGAATTACCTGCATTTCTTGCTTCCTTCCTCTCAGAATGTGAGTACAAACAAAAACACAAGGCTAGATGTTTCCATTAAAGTGAAAGTATTCAAATTGAACCGGTACTTAAATACCATGGAAACAGGAAGTATGTGCAAAGTTAATGACCTGGCATTAGCTGGCCTTTTCATCGCCATAAATTCTTCCATGGCATAGGAATCTCCGTACCTCCACCGACCCCTACTCCCCCCTCTCCCAATAAAAAGCCCAAGGCCATACCACCAAAGCAGTTATCAAGCAACACCTGCAGAAAACGAGTTTGGTCAAATGGCTGTGGTTCATGGCACCCAAGGCATAAAGCTATAAACATTCAAATGGAAACCATCAGTTTAAAAAAGAAACAGAGAACCATCCCCAAACATACTCATGGCCATTTGGGGAGCAAGGTGTAATATATATAGTCACAAAGAAAGACAAAAAGGACACTTGTTTGTCATGCCATTGTGCTGCCATCCATAAGATCAGCAGGTGACAGTTAGGCCCGCAGAATGGCCGGAAATCGGATTTTGAGGCAGGCCGTTCAGCAAACAGATTAGAGACAGTGACGAAGATGAAAGGTTGTGGTTAATACAAGGCATGCCAGCTTCTCAAAAGCAGCAAATGGTCCAACCGGTTGACTTACGTATTGTGGGAAATGCATGCCATTCTGTTTTCCCCCCAGGAGAACAATCATACAATGCAATAAACACCAGGTTAGATGTTGTAACAAACAGTCGAAACAAGTTTAGTGCACATGTATTACAAAGCATTTGAAGGACTTACAAAAAGATAAACCATACATAGTTCCGAAAGTGAGTGAGCCCAGACAGCTAATAGAAAACAAATACCTTAAAGTTATGTTAAACAATGTTTAATTTATTCATATGAGTTATTAAAACCTCCCAAAGATTACGTGCAATATCAGATGTTTTGTATAAACATCAACCCTGAGTCCATGTTGCCCATCTTTTCATCATTAATCTGTGACTCGTTATCATAATGGGGGGATGACCAACAGTGGCTGACACTTCACAGACCAACAAGAAGTGTAATATTACTCAATACAGCAGAGTGACACTCACCATGGTAGCGGGGTTCCATGTGGTGGTGGGGGCAGTCTTTGGTTGCCAGTTGGTTCCACCAGTTAACTTTTTCTCCCCAGGCTGACTCCAATGAATGTCACTGGGAATTTGGTTTAAGTTAAAATCACATGCGCACACACAACACTTTGATCATTCATTAAGATAGAGGCACCAACTTACTTTTTTGTTGTGCCATTCCCGATTCCCAGGTCTGCAAACAAACAAAAACAAAAACATTTTTTATAACCAAGTTTACAAAACAGGCCAGAATGATCTAGCGCATGGCCAATGCCGTCCAAACATCTCTCACAAGCTATCAAGAACAACGACCACAACAGCGGCACGTACTGCCCACGAGGTTGGCCAGGGAGGAGTCCAGGTCGTCTGACACCAGCTTCCCCGACTGCTGACTGTTGGGGGGAAGACCCTGATTGGGGGAGGCCACTGTGGGTTTCAGGATGCCACCTAGAACATCATCTTAAAGTAAGAGAAGCAAGGAGGATAGTGGGAGGGGTGGGCAGGGAAGAGGGGACACAGAACATAAAAAGGACATTTAACGGGGCAGAGTGGGTGGGTGGAGGTGAGGTTTATCAAACTGCCACTAGGCAGGAAGGGGAATGCACAAAAAAAGTCAACTCACCCATTCATGCAAGCCATGCAAAGCCAAGGCCCAGAGAGCATTTACCGAAGGATAAAAAGAGGGAACGACACAAAAACAGAACAAGGCAGATCGTGAGCAAAGTATCCAAAATGTCATAGGGGAGAGAAAACTGCCTGTTCATTTAGGAGCATTGAAACTAAGCTGTCATAGTTACTTCTAAACAGTAAGAGGTTAAGCACAGTAAAAATGATAAGGATTGGCATTGGGCAAATGTCGCTCAAGATGACGGGGACTGGATCATCAAAACACAAGCATCGTCCCAAAGTCATTGGCACAAACTCCCAGTGCAGCGGGCCAATCAGCATTGAGGAGTGAGGTCAGGAAGCAAGCGCCAGGAGAGGTGAGGTGGACAGGGCGCGACAACAGCGGGTCCTGATTTGGGATGATACATGCCATAGGCCAGCTGCGGCACGCCATTAATGAGGCAGGCTGCCACACTTCAGAAGAGATCCCATAGCTTTACACCCCCAGCCTCGCACAGGAAGGCAATCACCCCCCCCCCCCCCAGGCAGTTCATAGCACAATCAAGGCCTCAAGCTGCACAACCATTCTTACCAGCAGAGTCCGGGTTGTTAGAAGAGGCCGACTTATTGCCAAACACAGAGTCAAAGTCGACGTTAAGGCCTCTTGAGGTCTGCGACTGGGGTGCTGGAGACGCCGTGAACCCTGGGGAGGAGATGATATGGAGGGGGGTGATATAGCAAAAGCTTAAAGCTTGGTTGCTGAACCCGAACCTGTTCACCTTGCACATCCAGCACACCTGCAGCAAGCACAGGAAAAACATGGAGGAACCAAAAGCAGAAGCTGAGAAACAAACCAGCCCTGCTCCATATCCCCAAATTATAACCAGCACACCAGCACCTGGCAGGTAACTCAAACATGCACAAAGAATTTTCCCTTAGATACCTAAAATTCTGAAGCAATGGAGAAGAAACGCATGACATTAAACCATAGTGTGCCAAAACCTACGTTTCCAAATAGCATTTCCTAACACACTCTTCCAGATCCCCTGTTCTGAAGTTAAGTTAGTTAAGGTACCCTACATGTTAAAGTATTTACCTGGCACAGCTGCGGAGTACGTATTTGGGGAACCATTACCGTTTCCAAAAAGGCCACTGTGAGCTCACTGATGAAAATGACCAGCGTCTGAGGTCACATCATAGCAGTGGATCAATACCCAGGGCATCTGACTGTAGCAGACTGAGCTGGTGCTGGGGCTGCGAGCCCCCCCGATTCGACGTGTTCCTCCAAATGGAACACTGTTACTGTAAAAGCTCTATGATGGACAGTAACTTCACTTACATTCTTGCACTTAGATTCCTCTGTCCTTTTTAAATGGATTTCCGGGTCATGTGATCTGGGTGTTGAACCACAAGGCAAGGAGGACCATTAACAGGGCACTCGTGCAACAGATTCATGGCAAAGTCAGAGGACGCCGTTCCTGCGTCTTACTGACCAGTGCTGTCCTTACTTTTGCTCTTGTGTTTCAGAAAGGGAGAGCGAGGACCAGTGCCCCCTTCTGGCCTTCTAAGTGTATTTGTGTTGCATCCTATAACACTGATATGCGCTGAGCACAAATGCAACACCAAGCCCTTCCATGGCTTTCCTGGCTTCCACCTTCCCCAGATTTACCAGAAATTAGCGACAGACTATAAAGGACAGACACTAAACACAAAGGACGAGAGCAGAGAGGGAGGAAAAAAAACACACACACATGCACACCAGCGTGGAATACCTACCTCCAAATAGGCCAGCTACAGCAGAGGGCTCAGGGTGGAAGAGAGAGGCATTAGGGTAGGGTGCTGGACCACAGAAGGAATCTGAAAGCCAGTGAGGAAGGCACAGAGACGGGGAGCAAGAGAGGGGGGTTTAGAGCACGACGCAGAAGAGACAGCACAACGGCACAAAGTCTACAACAGTGTAATAAATCTAGGGGTTTTTTGTTTAAGAAATTAAGTCAAAACCAAAACAGGTGACATGTTAGTATCAAAAAAAAAAAAAAAGCAGGGATGGTCAATTCAAGTCTTGAAGCAACTACGGCTGGTGGGTTTTAAAGCAAGACTCTGCAGCCTTCATCCTGGGAAGCTCAAATAGACTCGATCAGATACGATCAATATGAGATGAGCCAGACTGAGGCCAAGCAGAAGCAGAGCTGGAGGCTATTATAAGATTTAACCCTTAACTGTCTGGCAATTCGCCTTCCTTTGCCAATGACCGATTTCCTGAGATGGAAGGAAAGCCAACAGACCCAGTAGCTTTAAGACTAGGACAGTCCATCCCCTTAGAGAAACACCACCTGGGGGGGGAGGGGGGCAACTGGAGAGTGAAGAGGAAACCGACAAGATGATTATGGTTTCCTAGGACCCAGGAAACAGGCATGATGGTTCATCAGCTGTACCTGAGATAAACTGCTCTATCCAAGTTGTGTGTGTTCATAATTAGTTGTTTAATAAGTTAGTTTATTCAGAAACGCTTGAATAAACAATGGGATTGTAATTGTAATGATCTAGAAAGTTAAAATAGATTAACATTCAGAAATAAAATAAAACTATATAAAGGCAAAATAAAGTCTCTCTTTAAACGAGACACAAACACTTAACTACTGCATAACTACCTCAAAAGCATAATGTTTTTCAGCGGATAAGAACTTCCTGGAGTTGGGTGTACACTGGAAATGGTTGTGAATATATTCACAAAAACAAAACCACTGCACCTTGCCTGCCTGCTTGCCATTTCTACCTACTGGTGTGTGGACATGACCTCAAATCCTGAACCAGACAGAATCGGCACCACCCCTTCTGCCAAGAGCTACAGCGGCCACAGATAAGGCAATGGGAGCCAAGGGGGTGGGGGTCATTCTCACAGGTTACTCATCACCCTCAAACCAACGTGCAGAGCCCTAAATCACCCATTCCTTACTCAAAGAGTAACAGAGTACAAGAGCAACTGGTCTCCACATTCTTCTGTGTGTTTACAGCCCCTCCTTACCCCATTTCCCTCAGGGAACACAAATCAACTCATTCCTCTGGCCAAGAATCAAATAATTCATATCGTTCAAAGCATTGTTTAAATGGGAAGGGGGACTATTTGAAAAAGAAAAAAACCTTATAAAACACATACGGACAAAAGAAAAAAAAAAAAAAAACAGACAAACATGTCTAATGAATCGGTTAAGTACAACAACAGAGCATGCAGGGCATGGAAGGTCACTGACTTCCAAACCCAACAAGAAAGAGCAGGAAACTAAACACAGTAAGAGTGAGAAAATAAAGTCGTTTACCACCAAACATTTCATGACTGGGTGTCCTAGAAGAAAAACTAACACCGTCTGAGGACACAACAGGAAGATGGACAGCATCGACAACAGGTTTTGTAAGGAAAGGGTTTAAGTTTGGAATGGAGTCATCGACAGCTTCAGTAGAAGTGAAAGGATCTATATGCAGGCAAAAGGAAAGAAAACAAGAGAACAGGGAGATGTTAGAGGAAGATGTGACAAATACAACAGATCATGCAACAAAAAAATTTGCACATAAAACCACCCTCATTTTCACTTAAAGTTTACAGTCCCTCTTTAAATTTTATGTGTGTCACCTTCAGGCATTTCTACAACATCCACCTTAAAGATCCACCATAACTGCAGAGTTATGAGGACTTGCAGAACAAAAGGGGACACCTGGATGCAGACAGGAACCAAAACAACACACACAGAAGGCTGATATCTCGCAAAGAATGCGGCTACCTCCAAATAACGTGTTTTCCTACATAAACGGATGAAATCAAAGCCGAAAGCATCACCTATCTGTGCGATTTACCGGAGGTGCACATTTAAATTACTGATGGAACGTCCAAACTCAAAAACAAAAACGTACAAACCAGTCTTTCTATGACCACTTCTAGTCACAATCATATGCCAGTAGAGATAAAAACTCAAGATGAGTGAACATCAATAAAACGTTCGATTTTTTAAATTGAAGAGATGCACTGGATTGCAATGCTGTTGTCTGAACACACTAAATTGTTTCCTTCAGACCATGCAGAGATGGCATCATGAGAAAGATCACCAATCACTAGTGTCCTGCTAGATCATAAACTACACCCTGCAGAAACCCATTTTTTAGTACTGAAGTAAAAACCCAATACGACACAACAGTACCTCAAAGTGTCACCTGACCACACTGAAGAACAATGCTTGCAGAAACTATGCAAGGGAAATGAGGGATATGCATTTCTAAATGCATCATTAGAGAATGAGTTTACCCATCACGGTTAAGTAAGCATTTAAGCTAAGGTAATCAGTTTCAGCTTATCATTGTGTAACTTTTTCACAGCTATTGACCTCCACATCAAGCACAGTGATAGGACCTGCATATGATTATACTTGAATATACTGGAACTCAGTCCTGTACAAGAGCATGTCTTTGGAAGTCTGCGACTCCTCCTTAGCATTCAAGCAACCTAATCTCAGAGTATTCCTTCGAAAGACTGTACCATGCCATATCATGATTAAAAATTAGAGTTCCCATAAGATTACAATTAATGAAGTGGCATTTCTACTCGATCATATTTAATGTTTAAATCATAATGTTCTGCCAATCATTATATAAATATTAAAACTACTTATCACCTTTAACTCAACGCCTGATAGAGCAGCACTTGACTTACAGTCAAGTGTAAATAACGTATAGCTAAGCATCGGGGCTGCCTACCTGCCCATGTGTTTGCTACAGGCAGGCCTGTGGAGACTGGCATCTGTGGCTGAAATGTTGGCTGCAGGTCAAGCAAGTCACTCTGCACCTTGGAAGTGCTGGGCGAGAAGGAAAAAGCCAAGAAGCTGCTTCAGTCAACATCAGGAACCATCCACAACCAACTCAGATGGCTGCACAGAGTTACAGAGCATTGCACATGGAGAGTGACTGGGCATGACCTAAAGGACTTGAACCCATGCGTAACCAGTAAGTTCCTGCGGAGTTCGCGTCTGCCCAACACTGTCCATATATTTCATTTGAACAAAACAGAAAAAATGATCACTTCAGCCTGATGTGGAAGATGACAATACAACCATCTGTGATTTAAGTTATACAAAAAGCCTTATAGTAGACATACAAGGTCTAAGGCCTAGGGAACCTAATCACAAGCCAATCAAGAGAATCAATACCTGTTTGTGGAGCTGGGAGTGGAGAAGAGGTCAATCGCCGGGGCAGTACTGATTGTGCCCCCGGTGGTAGAGACTGGTGACGCAGCAGTCGTGGAGGGCTTCTTTGACAGCTCCTTCAGACGCTGCTCCTAGGAAAATGGGCAGTGCTGGCTTAACGGTTAGGGAAGCGCACTTGTAACTGAAAGATTGCTGGTTTGAATCCCCGACCAGCAAGGGACCACTGAGGTATACGAAGTCACATATGGGTTAACCCTCACCCAGCCCTAACCTTAACCAACAGTAACCAAACAAGATACAAGACTTGGCATTTTAACCTTTTTGACTGCATTTGCAGATTTTTATGAAACTGAGGCTAAATGAGGACCCTGGAAAATGTCCCGAAAAGTAAGGAAGTTTCAGGTTTTACCGCAAACCGTACTTTGGGAACATGTTGGTTGCCAAATGTGACACACACACACACACACACACCTACACACACACACACCTACACACACACACACCTACACACACACACACCTACACACACACACACACCTACACACACACCTTAGACAAATTCAGAGGTAAAAAAAGGAACGACACTGTATAAAAGTTGCTGCCAAGAAATTCCCAGACACACAGACACACCTTGAACAGAAATCGGAAACCTTCTGGAAACCAACACATCTTGCCGGTTTCCAGCTTAAACTTTACAGTTAAACCCCCAGCAGCCTGCATCACTACCCACTTCAGGTGAAACAAAATCTGCAAAAAAAAAATCAATACCCAGCTGGCATTCGCAGCTTAGAGATTACTGCCTGGCTAAAAAGAATATAGACAGCGAGCCTTTTTCCTTTACTGGGGGGGGGTGTACCTTGAGTGCTTTTAAGCGAGCCTGTTCCTCCTCCAGTGCCGCCTGCTTTTCCCTTTCGTCCACTTTGGTGAAGGAGATACCCGTGTTCGCCAGCGACGACACTGCATTTGAGAGGGTGCTGGCCCTGGACATGTGAGACCGGGGGGGGGGGGGGTTACAGGTCCAGACAGCACTGTAACACTGGCGCCATCGGAAATGCTCCTCTGGCACCGGGCGACATTTGTGGGATGTACGCGTCCTTTCGATGTGCCCTGACACGCGCATTGGTGCGAATTCGTGAGAGTGAGTGGCAAATTAATAATCGCTACTTTGGATGTTCAACTTCTGGAAAATCAAGAGGAGAGAATGTTTATCACTGAAGGCCAAAAAAAAACCATCAGGAAAGTAACAGGAAGCTTAACATCATAATATCCAGTCATGTGTTATTTCCAGAAGATCTGATAAGAGTAGCTGAAAGGGGCCAGTATGCATTTCAGAGGGTCCTAACAAAGTTTCTCAGTTGGACAGCTTTGAGAAAGAGCAGACAGAGACAAATAACATAGCTACAAGCCACGCTGAGAGCCATGGGGACCTGCCTGAACAAGTGCTCACAGAGATCACACTCTGAAGTCACTTTTCAGGTGAAAGTGGCAAAGAGTGGAAAGGAGCCACAATACAAACAATACCTGCTTGCAGCAGTGGAATCTTTGACCTTCTTTCCTTCAAGGGAAGCCAAGTGCTGCTCCAAAGCATCCAGCAGGCTACTGGGGGCCTATCACAAGACAAACACTCATTCAGGATGGGAGGGGTCGAGCAGAACCCGGAGACGACCAGATACGGCGGGCATGCAGAGAATTTTAACATGTACACCAAGCTGAAATTTCCAACTGAACACACACAGAAAAGGAGAGAGTGAGATGCAGATACTTACACAAACCGTAAACTGAAAACGGAAAGATAAGGAAAGATACAGAATATAAAGGTGGTAATTGTCAGAGACAGGAATAGAAAAAGTACAACTGCCTAATTCACTAGCAGTTAAAACACCACCATGAAAACACCGATTGAAAAACATAAGGTTAACTGCACCGATTCTGATCCCTCTCCCTTCCAAACAGTAATATTCTATCCTTCCTGACAAAAAAAACCACCACTACCAAAAATCCTTGTGCCACTTATTCTTGGAAAATCTGAAACCTGCTCACATACAAATACACACACCCCCCCCCCCCCCCCAAAATTCTAATAGCGACAACCAAACAACCAACCAACATCTTAACACCTTTATTTGCTGTATTTAGTGAGAAGTCAGGAAAATTAAGGTTTGCCACATGGGCGACATGCACAGAGGGCCCTCATGCGCTCGTCAGTGCCTCGGAAGTCTGTGCCGGGCGGAGTTACAGGCAGCAAAAGGTCGCAAGTGAGTTCGGCCAGGGAGACGTGGAAGAGGTACTAGCAAGGGGGCAAGCCAGAGGGAGAGTGAGTTCATCGGCCAGGACCAGGGCAGGCGTCTTACCTGAGACAGGTCTGGAATGTCCCCCCGATCGATGCCCACTTGCTGTGGAGAGAGAGCATAGGTCAGGAATATGTCGCCCTCAGGACCCCTTAAAAGCATCCCGGGAAAGCTCACCTCCGCGACTTTGAGGAACTCCGAGATCCTTGTCATCCGGGTGAGGAATTTCTTATAGATGTCAAGGCCTTCTTTACACTGGGTCTTCTTCATGTCGAAGTATTTCTCTGTTTTGAAGGGTCAGGGTTCAGAATTAATTTGAAAAGGAAACAAAGGCTTTCTTCTTCACGGCGTGCCAGCCAGCTTACAGGGAAATTTATATACAGGACTTACTGAAAAATAGGCATACGGAGACACAGCTGCTTTAAGTTAACCCAGAGCCATAAGGGCAAAGCACTTTAAGAGGGAACTAAAAGTGTCATCCCTCAGCTAGGCTGGCGACACGATGTGACCACACACTTAATGAAACTGGACACTATGTGGGGTGGGGGGGGGGGGTCAGGGCACGTCGACAGCATGGACGGACGCCTCTGTGAACCATGACCTCAGCAAGGGGGGGGGGGGGGGGGGGTCAGGGCACGTCGACAGCATGGACGGACGCCTCTGTGAACCATGACCTCAGCAAGATGACAGCTGTGCATTTATCCCACTGTCTTAATGAGCAGCTGACTGACCTTTGACCACAGCAGTGATAAACACATACAAGCTCCTATAATTTAACTTATGATGGCGTGCCCAAAAGAAACATGCCACAGCCGTAAATTCAAAGAAAAAAAATGCAGCATGACCGGTAGTTCAACAAGTACAGTGATAACGTTACAAATTCAACACTCTGAGGCCAACCAAAAACTCAAAGGTTTCCCCGTGTTGGCGAAACACCATGAGGGCCAAAGGGTCTATAAAAGCAGGTCCTTGCGGAGCCGCTCACCTAACAGGTTGATGATTCCTTCATTATAGGCCGCAAACAGCCTGATTGCGTCTTTGAACAGGAGCATGAAAGCTGCATTGATTACCCCGTTTGTAAGCTCATTGGCATTGACCTAAGGGAAAAAAAAAACTATTACAAAAGAACTGGCCAGCATAACAATTATCAATAGCGGCAAATAGTTTATTCTCTTGTCTATTCAGGATCACAAAAGAACTACTCACGTTGAAATCAAGAAGAGCATCCATCTGATTCTGAATTATAGGGATGGTCTTTAGGAGCTTTTCTGTGTTCATGGTCCTCATCACTCCATCAGCACTTTGGTATAAAAACATCATTAAGGTGAATTAAGAAAACAGTTTATTTTGTCTGAGGGGCGAGTGTTGTGATCACTCAGAAGACGCAGAGGGGCTCGGAGGTGGAAGATCGGGAGAGCAGCACACATCTTTCACATTGAGATCACTGGCCTTCTACCACAAAAAGTTGCCTGGACAGCTTAACAGAAATCAAACGAGTTCATTTCTAAATACTGAACAGCTGGGGGAAGGAAGGAAGAAAAAAAAAAAAAAAAAAAAAAGGAAAGCGAACTTACCCTCGTTTTACTTTTGTGAAGTCAAAAGCGACTTGTCTGTAAGAAACTGCTTTCTCATTCAGGTAACGGCTATACCTTCTGATGAAAGTCGACATGTCATAACCTGGGAAGATAAAGTATACATGGATTTTGGCCTGTGACAAAGTGCTGCACATCTGCTAACAGGTGCCAGCCTCAGCTCCTGTGGCCTGGGCACCGCAATTTCGGTCGGTCTGCACAGGTAGAAATCACTTTACCAACATGGAATGAAACCACACAGACACGCAGTGAGAAACTGTGCCATCCCTGTACGAGAGCCTGATCAAGGGCACTTCATTTAACTAGGTGGCCTTTTATATTTAAAGCCCTCTTTGCCTAAGCACAGACATGCGTGCCCTCAAAGGCCTAAACACAGAGAAACACTTGCTGTTTTTGGAAAAACGTCTGCCAGATGAATAAATGTAAATGCGATGTTGGAGAGTAACATTTTGTAAAACCAGAAGGGGGACTTAACACAAATACTGTTACAGGTTAAGAGAGAAATCGACTGCAAGTGCAAGGCAAAGCATGAGGAGTCAGAGTGGGAGTTATTCATTTTAAACAGTGAGCTGTCTGGTAACAGAGTCTCCAGTAAGTGGACTCTGTCTGCCAGCAGTTTGGGAGTCAGAGCTGGCGAGCAGTTGCCATCGGGGCTGCCCGGTAGCTCCAGCACTCTGACGGCACTGATGTGGCTGCTGCGTCACGTCATACTGAGCTGTAGGGACCCTGCCTTCCCCATGGGCTGCCATGACAGTGCACCCGGGAATTAACATACCGTATTTTCCACACTATAAGGCGCACTAAAAAGCCTTTGATTTTTAAAAAAAATAACAGTGCGCCTTATAATCCAGTGCGCTTTAAAACGTGGATTAATTTCTGTTGTGCATACTGAACTCAAAGCGATTTGAATGTTTTAGTATTGAAAAGTGAGTGTATTGTGTAGTGCTTCACGTGTTATAAATTAACAATTTCAAGAGTTATTATGAATACGCTGACTTTTGATTTAGCGGTATAGGACCGTATTATAAGTGTTCAATTTTGAGTTATTGTTAATAGGCTGACTTTTGATTTAGCGGTATAAGACTCTTGTTTTTTTACGTGTTAAAGAGTAGTGAAGACGCTCATAAGCGTTTGAACAATATTGACAGTCATTGTGAACACGTGATGCAAAATAAATTTTCGTTGACTGGCTTATCAGACTCTTTTGTTTTGCTTAAAGCGCCTTAAAGTCCGGTGCGCCTTGTATGTGGAAAAACGTCTTGCTAACTCTGCCCCAGAAGGCCACATGTAAACAATAAAGCAGATAATCATGTACACCCTGGAAGGAGGGAGGCACTAATATCACCCACAATCCTATGCTGGGCACTGATTAGGCTTTAAAGACCTTCAGCTATCACACTCCACGCGTCACCTACCAGAAGGCTCCGCCCACCCAGACATGACACGCCAGCTGGAGGAGCAGTGAACCAGTCATGTCTGACAGAACCAGAATACGGGCTTCTAAATGCTTGTGATTTGCATATTCATTTCATGTGGTCTAGCACATCTTCTGCTAGCATGTGGGAAATGTCAAATGCGAAACCGACTGTCAAACCAGTATCACTCACCCTGTAACCCACTTTTGTCCAAAAAATTGCTCAGGTTGAATAAAGTGTTCCTTGAAGCCAAGTACTGTATAAATCGCTGCAATTAAAAAAAAAAGAAAAAAGAAAAATGATTAGAACTGCACAGAACATAGAGCAAAGTTCAACATAATGGGGTTTTATCCCCACAATAAATCTGATTGAGCAGATCGGAACAAGCCAGCCTTCAAGAGTCCTTTACAATGGCCATTACATTGAAAATCTCAGCTGTCACACACTTTGCATAAAAACAGGTAAATCCACCACTATAAACAAGCAAACATTGAGATTATCTAGGCAACTACAGTAGCGTGCAGTGTAAAGCGAGAACATGGTTAGCATTGGTCTTCTATAAAGCATAACCCTGGCTATTCACAAACTAATAATCACTCCCACTCAATACAAGGCAGAAGTTAATGCAAGTGTAAAAAACAAGATCAGCATACATAAAACTCTAAGAAACGCAAGTAACATCTCATTAAGGGCAAAGACAAGTACACAAAGGGAAGTGACGGGGAAACTCATGCTGTTCTATCCCAGAGCCCCTCCAAGACGGGATGTACCCATTAAAGACCATCCCTGAATTCAGACTGGAGCTCGACGGCAGCTGCATGTCGCTCACCTCATTGCCATAGACCATGAGGTGGTGGGTAGTGATGAGGGACTTGAAGACCACGACCCAGCTGGTGTTGGTGGTCCTCTCAAACAAGGTGTCGGCCAGCTGGGGGATGTTCACATTCATCTCATTGGTGCACTGGATCAGGTCTGGGGAGAGACATTGGGGAAAGATTACTGCCAGAACACAGGGAAAAAAAAACACAAGCTAAACACCAGAAAAACTGAAGACCCTGAAAGGTACGGTACATCTGAGCAGTGTGATTCCAAACCAGAGGATGCAGAGTTCGTCGTGTGTATGGTTTCACAAGTTTGTATGCAGGCCATAACTACAGCCGCTATCTGGAGGGTAAAGAACTTCTGAGCCTCGTTTCCCCTTGGCAGGTCTCCACCACCATCTGGACTCCCCCCCCACCCCCACCGTGAGGATGGCCTTGGTCTATGCCACATCCTAAGCCTGATGTCTGCAAACCCCAATATAGGAACTCTATATCTACCCTTGGATAAATCTACTTTTTATTACAACAACGGTGTAGACAGGACTTGAAAAATGTACATCAAAACAAGAACTTTGAACTAATACAGCAGAAGGCTGCATTATAGAAACACTCCACAGGGCCAAGCAGGTAATTATATTGGCAGAGTAACAAAAGGGCTATACTTCACGAACTGCTCCCATCACAAAATCCAACCCACTTATCACCCTCGTCTGCATCAGCATGCATGACACCACACCTTCTGCAAATGACAAGTATAGGGTGATCCCAAAGTCTGACAAATATCAATAGGATGCTCACACAAAGATCATACAGTTAAAATGAACAAAACCTCCCTTTCATAACCAACAATTTCTTTGTGCCCTTTTGTTAACATATTGTAACACGAAAGCTCTAAGCACAATGCTGACTAACAAGCTGTTCCCTGGCTCTTAGAGCACATATACCCAATTCATTTTTAAATTTTAATGCCTCCATGGTCATTACTGGTTTATTTATGCTATCCATTAATGCACTGGGCAGCATCATTTCATCCACAGTTTAACTAAGCATTACACATACACGTGATAGTAAGTGTTAATTCCTAATAAATGCGGGAGTCCTTCGAGAATGGACTGAATATATAGTCTGTGCTTTTTAGCCCTGAAGCTGTAACACAAAGCTTTGCATGTTCTTTCACTTGCTAAATGGCAACAGAACACATCCAAACAATACTACTCTCATGTGTTTTTTTTGCAGCTGCATGGAATTTGTATTTTGTATAAATTGGGGAAACACCCAAAGGAACTTGTGACATTTCTGACAGGTTTGTTTATTTACAGAGCACGGTCTTGTGAACATTATGATGATGAACTGCAGTTAACACACATCTGCCAATAAAAAAAAAACCTTTAAGATAGACAGACTGGGGACTTGTACACTGCTGATGAATGTTGCTTCACCTTTTTTTTTTTTGCTTTAAAAAAAAGTTTGTAAATGAACAAACCATTTGGCAGTGCATAATGGTAGAAGTGAAAATATGAAGTAACCAGAGCATTAAACAAATAGCAAGTTTGACGTGACCATTTCCTGTCACGTAGCACTAAAATGTTTATAAACCAGTGACACGAGCACTGAGAAATATGGATTACCAACCAAATTGAAGGTAATATTCTTAAACAAAATACAACTACACAGGGAGCATTTAAGGCTAAGCTGAACTAAACACGGTTTAGTACTTATAGAAGTGCACATGTAATTGTTACTAAGGTTCCTTCAGGCTCAACAAAGTGCCAATGAGCACGGTGAATTTCTGTTCCAATCCCTCTCACGTAGTCAGGAGGAACACAAGAAGAAAAGCAGACGTGTAACTGGTGAGTGAGTAACCAAGTCAGAAAGCAGCATTGCATGTATATAGAAGAAGGTCCTCACTCTTTAGAAGATAAAGTTCTATGAGAAGTATTCTAACAGGCCTGAAAGCACGAGCCAGAACCAGTGGTCTGGATCCCCCATACGGGGCATTACATCTGACGTTTCAACAACACGACTGTGGTGCATTCAGAAGTTAAAGTGCCATTTACCAAGCACAAACATACCCCACATGTCTGCTTGCCTCAAGAGTAAAAAGCAAAAGGAAAAGCAACACAAAACAAAATCTGAACAATTCTGAAAACTAGCACAACCTGCAGCCTCGGGCTGATCTGCCAGGAAAAAAAAAAAGGGACACCAAACCTGAAGATCTTGGAAGTCAGACATTCCTCAGCAGCGTGATACGCATGGCTCAGCTGTAGGACAGACATGCAATTTGATATAACTGCAGGCTAATGCTGCCCTGATAGAATATTTAAATCCATTACATGCCAAGCTGGCACTTGGCAGATGCACGACAGAAATATTTCATTAGTTTCATGCACCCCAAAAACAATCATTCACTGATAACAAAATATATTTTATACTGTGTGATAACCCTTACACACAAAACAAAAATACAAATCTGATGGGAAAAAAAATTCATTTTCATGATTTAGTTGTATTCAGGGATGGCAAGTCCTGACTGCCGATATTTTTAAGCCTGACCTGCCTATACCGTTCCAGGCCGAAATCTGTTTTTTTTTTTATTTTTTATTTTTTATTTAATAATTAGCAGGCGAACTTTTTAAAGCCCTTCTATAATTCACTAAGCTTTCTCCAAGCAAAATATTTTAAAATAACCTTTTCATGTCAAACAATAAGTGTTTTACCTCACCTATCACACAACATTAGTGGAAGGAGGGAAGGTGAGGCATGGGGGACGCATCTATGAATGGAAACCGATTTAGGACAAAAAGTAACGTTACCTGGTAAAACTACTTGATCTGCTCACAAAATTGGCCGTATTTAGACTCATTGGCCTATTGCCAGTCAGCGTGATTAGGGTGAAAATCTGGCTTTTCCAAATCACTAGTCAAATTGATTGGTGCATCCTTAGTTGTGTTTACTCCATTTAACATCAGGATACTTCAAATGGCACAGTACCGTACAAGGCCTTCTCAACGCCACCAGCTACACTGATCGACCCGTCACAGGGGCAGACTTGGCACCATAATGAGAGCATTACATTCTTGTAAGACCCGTTCAGATATATACTTATAAATGAAAGTAGGTTATCAGTGAGGAAACAGAAAAAGTTACAGCAAGGAGCCTCGTGCGAAACAAGCTCCCTAACATACAGGGCGCAGAGAACCTGACAGTTGTTTAAAAATTGCAAAGTTACAGCAAGGAGCCTCGTGCGAAACAAGCTCCCTAACATACAGGGCGCAGAGAACCTGACAGTTGTTTAAAAATTGCAAAAGATTTTAATCTTCTTGCTGAAGGTTTTGTTTCGTCCAAAGAACACACATGCATTATGATTACAGCTGTCACGATTACTCGATTTTTAAAAGTCATAGATTAAAATTGGAGAAAAAGACGGAAAGCCTCGGTTGTGCGGGAGCACATTAAATGTGAATAACAATGCACTCATCTCAATACTGAAAGGCATGACTGCAATGCAACCACACCTTAAAAGACGACATCCACAAACTCACCCAATAATGTTGTTACTCACAGACAACTATAAGCTATGTGCCCTCTTGGAGTTAATAAATTACTAGGGTTAATTTCCCTACTATAATTCCTGTATCTAGAGATAATCTCTGCTAAAACAAATGCAACCACCACCGCTTAGCTGCACCATCTTAGCTTATATGGTGCATAATAACCACAGAATGCTAATAACTAGGGATGATATTATATCGCGATTGATCTTGAAGACGTCCACGATCTACTTTTCACATGAATCATAGAAATCATGATCTTTTATGTCCTCCTACCGATGTTTCCAAACTTCACGTAAACTTCGATGGGTGGTTATAATCACTACCTGATCTGTAGCACACGTCCTCACCCGCCATGTTGATAGCTCACATTGAGCAGTTTTTCAAAAACAAACATGAATGACTTATTTCATCACGTTTTTGTGATATTATGATTACAAAATATATTTTTTAAAATTGTACCTAATATAAACTGGAGCTAAATAGAACGAATTATCAGTGTGTCAAATAAGCTGGTGGGGCTGTCACCAACTGACACAAAGCAATGGGACAGTGATGGTGTATGTTACACCACACTATTCTCCTGGGGAGGTGGAGCATCTTACAGCGACAAATCACTTGCTTTTCATCAATATGTTCTCGATAGAATACAAAACATTTGCAGTGAACAGAAGACAAATGTCTTCTGGTGACCACTTTTTCCCTCCGTACTCATTTTAACCCAGCTATTGCGATTCTTCTGATGTGACAACAGCATGTGTGCATATCATGCATATAGATACATCCAAGGTCGGTTTGTATATATTATATATAAAACAATCAGAAGGTTACTCGATTATTAATATAATCGATAGTGACAGCTCTAGTTATGACTCTACCACAGCATCCCTGAGGGTCATCAAAACACAACCATCAGAGATTACCATGTTCCCAGACAGAGCAAAAATAACAATCACACTTTGGCAGAGTGCACACCAATCAACGGCATAGGAAACGATAGCAGACTTCTTTAGAAAATATTCATTAAAAGGTAACAACTGTACTCAGTCTTGCATTTTAGTCATGCCCATTGTTAAGGGAAAATCCAGATGTATGCAATAGCTAGTGACTACAAACGTACACATTCTTACAGGCGAAATGAACTCGACTCTGAAGCAAAGGGAGAGAATTTTTCTGCTCTCTTTGAACTGTGTGTGATTAAGTATAATTGCTTAAGCTGTACAACTTCCATTAAACACTAGCAAACATAAATGTTGTGATAAATGCTGAAACATCAAAGAAACTGTCAAAGCAGCATATCCCACATTGAAAAAAAAATAAACTATTAGACGGGTCACTTGACTATCTGGCAACATTAACTCAACACATTAAAGCTGTGTGTGCAAAGGGTAAAACTGGAACCTTTCCCCCCCCACCCACTTGATACCAAGCAGCTAGGAAAAGTTCAACTGTGTATTAAAAAGGAAAAAAAAAGCCCTAAGTATTCTGCCAATTTTTTATGTCCATTGAGCAAAAATCACGAGTTTTAAGAAATGAATGGTTTGTACTTCAGCGATTAAGAGGCAGTGCAACAAGTCTTACCACACAAACCCAGGAAGGA